TAACCCTAACCCTAACCCTAACCCTAACCCTAACCCTAACCCTAACCCTAACCCTAACCCTAACCCTAACCCTAACCCTAACCCTAACCCTAACTCCCATTCCTTGCTGCCCCGCATCTGACACTCCTCTGCACCATGATACTGCCTTTCCTTTCCCACCACCTGACACAATGTGCAACAACCTACCCAACTCTCCAACTGCTGCCAAAATGCCTCTGCCTTCTTATACTCCCCTGTTGCCTCCCTCCCAACCTGTCGCCTCTCTTGCTTTGCTATGCATTAAGCTTGCAAAAACTCCTCCATCTTCTCACCTAACCGCCCCTCTACCTCTGCTGCTGTCTCTCCTAACACCAACCCTAACTCCTCTTTGCACTCACACATGTTGCACCCTTCCTTGCCTTCCTTGCAACACACATAGCCCTCCTACCTATCCATCACCTAGTCTAATACTACCTGCTAGCACTGTGACCCTTCTATAAACTCCTTTATTGCTGCCTCCAACACTAACCTATCCTTGCCTTCCTCTCTTTGCTTTACCTAACTGCTTATCTTCTCTTCTTGCTGCTTCTAACTACTGCTGCTTTTGCAAACCATTACTACCTTGCTTGCTTCTCTATCCTGCCTTGCCTGCTCACTCTTCTACGCATAATCCCATAACCAACGCAGCGCCTTTGCATATACCACTATCTACACATCTGCAACGTCAATGCCTATCCCTAACGCATTTGTTGTCACAATTACTCAACTACCCTTGACTTACTCCCTTAACCGCCATGTCTTGCCCTTTGTTGTATCTACTTTGCTGTAAAATACTAGACATGACAATAACTTGCCTAACCATTCTACTTGCTTAACCTCTCTGCCATATACAATCATCTTCTTACTCTTATACTTCTCCAACCTTCTCTATATAACCTAGCATACCTCTTTGTCTTCTACCTCCACTATTGAAACTCTTTTTACCCAATAACCTACGTTTTTCCTTATCATTGCTAACCTAAACAAACAAACCTGCCGCCTGTCTACTCTTATCCTTGCAAAAAACTCCTCTACATCTGCTAGCGCCAATGTTGCTATTAAAAACACCACCTGCACCTTTATCTTCCACAACACTTTGCCTAACTTGCCTAACTGCAGCTAGAATATCCTATTGCTGTCTAACACTGTGTGACACTTGTCTACAAAAACCTAGTCTAACTGCCCCTGCGCCTGCAACTAGTTGACAAATGACTAGAAACCCTTTGTTACTGCCAACTCTAGCGTTACAAATATAATCAATGCTGCTTAGTTTGCCTCTTAGCTTTGCCAAACATGTGAATTGATCTTGCATAACTTGCACTGCCTATACAAATCCTTTCGCAATGCTACTAACAGCACTACCACAATTGTCACTTCTTCTAGCAAACAAAACGCTAGCAACATGAATAACATGCTTTTACCTTTCCCTATCCCTGCCACCTACACAATCAGACTCTTTCCTTAGATGATTGCCTAAATCACCCTCTCTTGCATGCTGCAAAACTATGCCTTCTTTCCTATCATAACCCTTAACTAACCTTCTATATCTACCTGCTGCAACTGCATAAACTGCCAGAACTATGCCTCCTCTTGCATGCTGTTAAACACGTCTAGCTTCTATTTCCTCCCTAACCTTAACTTTGCAATTTTATCCTCTACGCTAAACTTGAAAAATCAATGCTACTTCTAGCTAATTGCCTAAAACCAATCCTACCACGCAACTATCCTAAACACCTCTTGCTGCAACTTCTGCATATATATCATCCCTGCCACATGCATGCTATGTCTAGCCTGCAAATCCCAAATGCTATCTAACATGCCTTTGTCGTCCTTGTCAAACTTGCTATCTTTGCCTATGTCTTTTCCAAACGCCTTGTTTAAATACCAGTTCAAAATTGCAATCGCAATATGCCTCTACATGCTTATGCCAACCTGCGCCTTTAAATACTGCCTGCTATGCTGCTACATAATCTGCTGCATCTAGTCTAGTATCTACTTCTGCTTCTAGATCCACACTGCCTATGTAACCTTATCCTCTGCCTCTCTTTTGTCTCCAACCTTGCCTTCTTTTGCTCCAACTTCTGCCTTCCTAATAGCCTTGTCCTTGCGCTTTACAATCTCATCTGCCTACAAAAACGCACTTGGCTTGTCTGCCTCTTTGACCATCTCTTGCACCTGCTGCCAAAACAGCAACACTAACTACAAATACTACACTAACAACTTGCCTACCTTGCGCAGCAAGTACTAGTGTATAACCTTGACCTTGCCTATGCTGCAGTAATTCTTGTGATATGACACTACAAAACTTGCCATGCCTTAGTCTATTAATATGTTACGCATCTTGCCATACACTATGTTGCAGTGCTATATCTCTATAATCTCTCACAACTATGCTAGCATCTCTCCCAACATATGCATCAATTGCAATAACCCTTCCCAGAACTGCTCCACTGCTAACCTATACTTGCGCACTGCCTTAGCCTAGTATAGCATCTTGTCGCTGCCTTTTACTGCCATCTACTCCTTCTACTTATCTGCCTGCTGCAAAATCTGCCGCACCACCCAACTCTAACCCTTTGCCAACCACTCATTGCAATCATCTTGCAAAAATAAATATCTAACCTAGTCCTTGCTATAGTCATCCTCTATCTACCTCTACTTAATTGCTAGCACTAACCTAAAATCATTGCCTTCTACTATTAACAGCTTGCTTAATTTAGCCCTTACCTCTCTAACTATCTTATGCAACATATCTGCCAAATTGTTTGTCTTAATCTTTATCTGCTAGTATATAATCCAATCCCTAACCTAATCAACTGTCTCTGCTGCTAGCATTGTAAACCAGACCTGCATCTTATACATGCGTGAATTGAATATCCAATCCATTAGGCTTAGCTTAGACTTGTCTGACACAACTGTTATAAACTGCTTAACCTTTAGCTAGGTGATTTTGAACAACCTAGTTGCTACCTCTTGCGCCTCCTTTGCACTTATTGTCTTTTCCAACGCTGCTACTTTATCCTGCTGCTTAACTACTAACTAATACACAACCAACATCTGCGCCACCTTGATAACTGCCAAATACTTTGGCGTGTAATCCTCTAGCCTATACTAACCATTGTCATCGCGCAATCTTAACACTGCCAAACCGCTAATTAACACACTCTTATATAGCATGTCTTTGTATTAGTAGTCAAAAAACGCAACTATTGCATCTAAACACAACTAGTCTGCCTAGTCTGCCTAGTCCTTACGCCCCTGCCATTCTACCTTATCTAACAGCATTATGCTCTCTATCTGCACACGCTTTTCCACTATCTTGCAAAACTTGTCAAACAAATTACCTTGCTTCTTAGTGAATACATACAGCAGCTAGTCTTTATTATCCTATTTCTATGTCTGCTGCATGTAACACAACAACTTGCAATACACCTCTTTATAATCTGCCTACATATCCTCCTCTATCTACCTATCAAACAGCTTCTTTTGCTTAATGTAAACCTCCTTTTTGTTAATCTCAAACAATATTGCATGCCTGCGCTGCTTTACTACTACCCTCTTTGCCTGCTTTATCACCTGCTCTATGCTTTCCCACATCCACTGCAACACCACCTTATCCTTGCTAATTAGCTTAACTATGCTGCGCAACCAAGCTAGGTCTAAACCTTTTAAATGCGTCAGCTAACCAATACAGTCTAACCACCTATTTAGCTTAGCCTTCTCGTTGCCTGCCTTAATCAACTGCCTCTTTGACTTAAACTGCACTGTCTAGGTTGCATAGATTTATGTCAGCTGCTCCTCCAATATTTCTGCACCTACCTTTGCTACCACTGCTAGCTTGCTACCCTAGCCAACCTTAAACCAACTGCTTCTAAAGCCTAACTAGAAAAATCGCTAACAATGCATACCTGTTATTTACAGCATGACCTGCTTTTGCTTTGCTCTTTTTACTACATTACTACTCTTACTCTAATCATTCGCCTATCTATAATCATTCTAGCAATATTGCTGCATCTTTTTCACCTCTATGCTGACAAAGTTGCATCAGTTGCACTTTAAACCAACAACTAGTAGCTTAATAAACAAGATAGGTAGGATAGTAGGTAGCAGGAACTTGAACTCTTTCAACTCATCCTAGGTTTTTGTAATGTCTAGGATTTGGCTTATCAATTCCGCAATCCTTAACTGTTTGCCAAGCTTGATAGACTTATGCTTTGCTTGCAAATGACTAACAACCTTGCCTGCTACGCATCTGATTCCACACTTGCATATTAGAAACAAGTATTTAGGCAAACAAACAAACAGCTCTATAGTGGTTTAAATGCATGTCTTGGCTAACTACTAAATGGTTACAACTATAGCCTTACACCACCATTTGCCTCTATTCACCCTAGACAACAGGCTAATGCATCGTTAGCCCCTATAACGCCACACTAGCTTAGGTAATGCTAACAAACAAAACCTACAGCTTTTCCTACCTACAAGCATTTTACTAACTTGAAAATAGCACTAAAGATTTCGCCTGCATTTAAGCTTTATGCACATACTGATTTTGTCAATTTTACTGCTGAAAATGTCTACAAGCTCTGCCTTCTATTTCTCTACAAGCTCTGCCCCCTGTCTTTACTAGCGCCATTTCAAATTACATAACGTTTTCTTCAAGCACAGCCTGTGCTCGTCGCCATATTTGGGGGTAGAAGCCTTTAAGGTTAAGCAAATGCTTTGGCTTTTCTTATAGTTGCGTAGTTTAATTAGACTGCAGCCTTCTAGTAAGCCTTTTAAATCAATCCTAGATTGCCTCTTAAATATAAAGAGGAGAGATATAAAACTACCTACCTACTTACCTCTCAATGTAGTATATTGCTTCTAAAGCGTAGGCTTTAATAGCAGTAGCTATATAATTAGCTAGCAAGTAGATAAAATTGTGCTTTTTTCTTACTTCTAGCATATATGACTAGTTAGGTAACCTTGATTAGCTTTAATACGTCTTGCAGTAGTGCCTAAATCTAGTTGTGTAAGTAAGGTAAGAAAATGCTAGTAGCGTAATTAATTAAATTAAAGGCGTAAGGAAGAAATAAAATGCAGTAAATCAAGTATTATTGCATAGAAAGCCTCAAAATAACTAAGGTATAAAGAGTGCTGCTTGTAAATCTATGTAAGTCTGCATAATTGATAATAATCTTACAATTTGAAGCCTTAATCACGCTTTTATATAGAAGCGTAGAAAATCTAGTCTAAAGCTGACTTATCCTAGCCTAAAGCAGCCTATGCCTTTTCCATTCACTATGTCAACAACATCTACTTAATAATTATGCTAATGACTATGTATAACCTATTAACAAGCTACTGCTAGTAACCTTTGTAAAAGTTGTCAATTGCTTTAGCAGCTATATTATCTTTCATATCGCTATAGCTATACTTAAACTTTAACCTTAAGCTATTGCTAAAGCCTAGATTATCCACATATCTATGCAAACCTTTCTAGTTATATGCTGCAAATAAGTGTTTTAGCATTAACATCTAACTGCATTACAAGAAACTAGCCAAGTTATGTGTAAACAAGTATACTAGCTTTTACTTTTACACTATTATGTTAATTGCTAGTACTACTATAAAGTAAAGCAGTAGACTTATATATGCCTATTTGCTTAACTTTTGCTTGATTAAGCAGATGCAAAAGTTAAACATAGCCTTGTCAAGCGCTGCTAGCACCTCTTTGTTGCCATCTTGCGCTTTGTTAAGCCTTTACACCATTGCATGCAGCATCTGCCATTGCTTGTTATTAAACAACACCTTATGCTTTTGCTATGCCTGCAAGCAGCTTAGCATAAACACTTGCATATAGTAGCATAAGTATTACTAATACTGCTTATAGTAGAATTCCTAAGTCTTGTCTTTGTCTTTTATCTAAAACAAGTTACCTACTAGCTTTGTCAAATCTATGCTTGCTAGCTACTTTAGCAACTGTAATAGCATGCAGTTAATTCTTTTAGCATACTATCTTAGTTTTTATTCAAAGCTATCAACTAGTACATTAAGTTGCCAATTCTTCTTTACCTTTTTGCAATTGCGCTTCTTTCTTTCAAACGCTGCTATTATTAAAGCTAACCTAGCTGCCTAGATTGCTGCCTAGTTATGCTGCCTTAAATGCTTTGCCTACTTTATATATGCAACCTATAGCAATGTTATGTCTAATCTGCTAGGCTTTTCTATCTTCCTATGCTACTTGTCTGCCTTTTTCTGCAAATACTTTTTGCATACTTGCATTGCAGCTAGCAGCGCCTTACATTTTCTATTGTCAATGCTATCCTTATCATTACTGCTATGCTTAGCTATAATCTAGTACTGCATATGCCTTTGTTAGCCAAATGACTATAGCAAGACAACTGTCTAGCCTAGCCTTTTTGCTAGCATATAACCCTTAACTATCTAATATGTCATTGCATTCTTTTTATTGACTGTCAAGTGCTAGCAGCTTGTGCAACTATAGCCTTTTAGACGCAGCAAGTCTTTAATTAGCATGCTATTATTATGCAGCAGCTTTACAGTTGCTAGATTGCTTAGATACATTGTTGACAATGCAAAAGACAATACTACTTGTAGCTCTTTGCCCTTTAGCTTGTGCTAGTTGCAAAAGTGCAACTTTATACCATTGCCTAGCTTAATGCTTGCATTGCAGATTAAGCAAAGCAGCATATTGCGTAGCTTATATAGTTAGACAGTCTCTTCAAGCTGAAAAGTCTTGCAAGTCAATGCCATTTTAACCTGCTATCTACTATCTTTTGCTTGTATAGCAATAGTTGCTTCTTTTTGTTTTAATTGTCAACCCTTGCTACTTTAATCTAACCTCATGTCTTCCAAACCCCTATTGAGAAAAATTTCGCCTAATCTTACTAGTTGTTTGACGTGAAGGTTGTTTAGCGTGAATGGCCTGTGCATAGCTCTCCTTTCTATAGGAACCTGCGGTTGTTTAAGCTAAACAACCTGTCTAATAATGTTTAGGCTGCCTACTGCGTCTAGATTTAGGTTTATAGGCTTGCATTGGTACAAGACCTAGTCGACGACAAACTTAATGCCATGCCGTGGAATATAACCAAGAGAGCGGAAATGATAGTACATGGCAGGCTTTTACAACAAAGCTAGTCGACTTGAAGCGCTATTGGTAAGCAACCCTACCTCGGGATTTTGCCGTCATCTAAAGCACTATCCTAATGAATAAGACGAGCTTATCACGGCAGACCAACCCTCCTCAAGGCGGCAATGCTAGCAACGAAACTCGAAGAGCCGCCTCGATACAACCGTCAACACTTTCACCACCTGTGTATGGACTAGGGCCATGGAGTGATAGAACCGCGCACACGCTGGAGATGCCAATCTGCGGCTTTTAGAGGTCCTCATCTATTAGCCTAGTGGCGTACAACATGGCCTGCGAGGCACCCTGGGACTTGAGTTACGTGATAAAGTATGTGACTCGGACAAATCATCTTATTTATTTTTTATTTTAATTTTTAAGCTGCTAACATTATAAAGTCTAGGAGACACCTTTAAGAAAACCCTATAGCCTTTATCTTAGTTCACCCCAAACTAGGAAAGTCAGAAGACATATCCACATCCACGCTCCACGGATCTAGATATAGCGTTTCCGTGTTTGGATTTTGAAAATATTTGTCTAGCAGATTCTATATCCATAGTATTAGCAAAAAGAAATATCTACTACACCACATTGCACATAAATAGAGACGACTTACCCAGTTTAGAGTCTCTAACCCATCAATCATCCCTGACATTGTCTCTGCATAAGGCAGTTCAAAGTCTGCAGAGACAGCCGGGGGAACTTGCGGAGAGGGCGGCTGCGGCAGCGTTGCGGGGGGTAGCGCGTTCAACCGCGCGCGCACGTCATTGTGCTCTGTCACTTTGTCGATCATTAGTCCCAGGGCGAGAGCCGCAATGCGTGCGTCGGGCGAGTTTGTGCTTTCGGCGCCCCATATCTGCCTCGAGGTCTGGAGGGCGCGGTACTCCCTGGTGCCGCCGAAGCCTGGTTCCCTCTCCGCGGCAGAGCGCATGCGGACGGACAGGCCTAGGCAGACGACCATGGCGGCGAGCAGGAAGTCGTGCGCTGTCAGCGACGAGACCATCCACTTGTCCTCGCAGAGGCGGCCGCCGGGACGCGAAGCGTGGTGAATGTCTGCCTGGCGGGCGAGGATGTCGAGGGCTGCTTCCATGCAGGCGCGGCGGGAGGGCTCGAAGCGGGGGTTGTCTGGCTCGTAGTTGATGTATCTTCGGTGGAGAACGACGAGGGCCTTGAGGTAGAGAAGCTCGATTGTGCAGCGATCTAGAATGAGGCTGGAGTGGTCCATGAAGGAGCGCCCGACGTCTCGACGTTTGAGGCATTCGGGGAGGTTGCCGTACACTTCTCTCATCTCGCCGTCGAGTGCAAGCGTTGTGTGGTAGCTCGGTGCGGTGAGATGTTGTGTGTGAGCAGATATCTTCTTGAATACCTCCATCACGCTTGCTTTGACGATCGTGTACTGGACAGGAGTGTTCTGGGATAGCGGTCGACCGGGTGGCAGGGTCTCCATCTCGACATAGAGATCGGAATACTCGAGATTTCTTGGGACTTGAGTGTCACAGTACTCGGTAGGTATCATGGTCGGAAATCCCAGCTGAAAGGACATCAAAGCTTCAACTTGGAATATATTGAGCCAGACTCGGCGGCGCATTTCTCCGTCAAAAGGCGAGATGCCGGGCAAGTTGATTGGGTCGCGGTGGCATCCCATCCGGAACGCTAATCGAATTATCGTGCCGAATTCGAACCAGAGGTGGATTGGAGGGGTTGTCTGACTCAAATAGCAGCTCTGAAAATGCAAGACAAATGCCTCGAGCGCGTACGCGTTGGCAGTGGTGTATTTGCCCAGGATAAGACATTGCGCCGTTCTCTGCTGCAATATTTTCACCGAAGGCATGGCTGCGTCGGATTCGGTCTCGCCGGGCTTAGCCAGCTGCCGTAGGATTGCGGTCAAGCTCAGCACGGCAAAGAGAAGTGCAATCCAGAGCGTGGGCGCCTTGGAAGGCGCCTCCCAGAACTTTTCATACTGAGTAGAAGCGTCAGCTCAGCTGCTCCCACGCTGGTCAAGGAAAGAGACGCACTTCTTTTTGGAACTTTGTTGGATGGACAATGCCTAGGTACCAAATCCGTTTTAGCAAGTGATTCCCTAGCTGTGATGAGGCGAGGCTGCTTACCAAGAACCATGAATCGGGAACCAAAATAATGAGAAAGCAGCCTGTCACAGACTGGCTGCGGTGGTAGAGAAGCGAGGATCTCGTGGAGACTCGGATTCTGGTTGAAGCCGAACAGGAAGCTGGCTTCAGGCTCCCAAAGAGGACTGCCGCCGTTGCCTAGCCCATCATGCAGAATTGAGCTGTCCGATGGTGTGAGATGTTCTCGAATTTCTTTGATGTCTTCCAAGATAGACAACCAGTGGCTGGGGTCGACATAATTAACCTGGCCGTCTCGAGACTCGAGCACACGGGGCGTCTCAATGCTAATAGTCTCGTCTTGGCTACTCTGGACACTGCAACCGGAACCAAGATCCAGTGCAGAACTCAGCCACCCGGGGGGTGCTGGGGTGACCCTCTGATTACCGGACGCAATGCCGGGGTTCGTCTGGGTTTGCGGTTGGACGGCAACATCGTCCACCAGGAATGAAGAAACAAAATCTTCCAGGTTCTTCAGTCGGTCGGTGACGTTGCTCTTCTTAAAAACACCGGGTTTGCCGCGATTGGCATTGGTCGCGTACTGACATGATGGTGCCTGATTCCTCTTAATGCACGTATCGCATGGGGAAGCACGATTACATTTCAATCTGTGATGGAACGATAAGCTCATAATCGCTCGAAATATCAAAACTTTGCTGGCTTACTTTCTAGAACGACATGGCTCACAAGAGACTGGTGGTCTGTTTCGTTTCTCAACCTTGGTACGGCTGGAATCCATGGTAGCAGGCGAATTATAAGGATTGGTTGAGGGAATCGGCAAGTGCAGAGTGTCTAGCCAAATAACATTTGTCTAGGGTCCAGATCGTGGCGGAGTTTGGGAGTCTAGGGAGCGGGGTCTGGACCGGAGATATTAACCCCGCATGTCGATAGCCGGTGTCGGGGCACTTAGGTCAGATTCTGGTCCAAACAAGGCGTGGTCGGAGCTCGGACTTGGCATTTCGTCAGCCCCGACATGGCTTAGTGTTAGCGCCAGGACATATTATATCCGGGCAATAGTGGTATGAAGAATCATAGTACGCTGTGCAAAGACAGGTAGATGCCCACGTCGAAACCTTTATATAATGAATGAGGCAGCCTCTTAAGGCTGTCTCCTCCCTCTCTCCCCTTTCTAGTCATTGAGAGCTAGTTAAGGATTCCATCATCAAATTTGTTAGCAACACAAGAAAAACAGGTCATCATGCCGTCAGCCCTTTCAGCACTTCACGGAGCTGGTTCCACAGTCCTCTCAAACCTTTTCATCAGCCTTCCCACCCCCAAAGCAAATTCCGAACTGTCAGAGCAAATCATCATCGTGACCGGCTCGAATACCGGCCTCGGGCTCGAGGCCAGCCGCCACTTGTTGCGCCTCGGAGTAGGCAAACTGATCATGGCTGTACGGAACGCGAACAAGGGTGATGCCGCCAGGCAGCAGCTCCTCACATCCACCGGTCGAAATGAGTCCTCCATCGAAGTGTGGCCCCTGGACATGGACAGCTATGCATCCGTCCAAGCCTTCGCAAGCCGCGCCTCCTCTCAGCTCCCGCGTCTAGATGGTGTATTGGCGAACGCTGGGATCATGACCAGCAAGTTCAGCGTGAGCGAGGGCAACGAGAAGACGCTCACCGTCAACGTCATCAGCACCGTCTTGCTCTGCCTTCTGCTCGCGCCCAAGATGCGCGAGTCCGGGCGGGAGACAGGCAACCTGTGCCGGTTTGTGATCCCCAACAGTGCGCTGCACTACATGGCACCGCTGAAGGAGCTGGAGCTGGAGAGGGACATCATCGCCGGGCTAAACATTCCGGAAAGGGCCAACATGGCGGGTCGCTATCCTCTGAGTAAGCTGCTCGTCCTATATGGTGTGCGCGAGCTGGCCCAGAGGAGCGAGGCTGCCGGCAGGAAGGAGTCTTTCATAATCAACACCCCGAATCCCAGCTACTGTAAATCCGATCTGGGGAGGGAGATGGTAACATTTGGGGCCAGGGCGGCAGAGAAGATTCTTGCTCGGAGCACGGAGGAGGGCAGCCGGACTCTAGTCCACGCTGTGTTTGCCGGTAAGGAAAGCAACGGCCAGTATTTGACAAACTGCCACGTCCAGAGGTAAGTTTCCTTTTCACTCTATTTCCCGGGTGATCTGGGGCCATGCTAACGTGTCCTTCCACAGACCTGCAAGCCACGTAACTGGACAATGGGGCCAGCAAGTACAGAAGAAGTTCTTCGATGAGCTTGTTGCAAATCTCGAACAAATTCACCCTGGTGTCTCGGCCAACATCTAGCTATGCATTGTCCAGACGATGCCGCCATTTGGAATAAGCAATAAATGTTTTGTATGGTTAAAAGGGTAGGGCATTGCGTTTAATATGTATGTTTAGCCTGGTCAGAAAGGTGTAAAGCAACAGCAGATTTTGAGTAATCGATTTTCTCCTTCTCCACGAGCTCCTTGACCCCCATAACCTGCGAGATCTTGAAGCTCGCGACCTCGACCGCGGCGCGGACGCCGTACTTCTTAATGTACTTGGGGAGGTTGAAGTAGACGTTAGGCTTCAAATGACACCTAGGATCAGGAAGTCAGCCCCCACTCATGGGCGTGGGTGATATTCCGGTATTAGTTAGACTCAAGCTTGCCGTTACGGTTCGAAATGAAGGTGTGCAAAGTGCTGCGCCCTTCGGAACTAAGGGATCAAAGGGCTGATGCTAGTCTGGTAGTTCGGGTATCAAGCATCTTTTATTATACACGTATTTCAGTATCTGGCAGCAAATCCCGCGTATCTGCAGAGCAGGGAGAAAGTAGTAGATGGTTTCACCAAGTGGTGCGCCTCCCCAGCAGAGGTTATATAGCCGTACAAGTTGGTGATACACATGCCGCAAGGCGCCGTGGAGAAAGGAGCCAACCTCCCGACCCACACCCTGGTAACCCCCGTGTCTAAGAAGCCCCCGGATAACAGCCGCTGGGAAGTGACAACGGCATGGGCAGCGACCAAGTCCAAAACGGTGCTAATCCACCAAGCCGTACATCTCGCACATATCCCCGCAGCTCAAGCACACATCGTGCCGGTCCGGGGTATTTGCAGCCGCATCGTCGTGCCTGAGGGCAGGGCAGCGCCATTCCTGCCGCAAACGTGCAGCAATCGCCACGGCCTGTCCACGTACGACTATTCGATCCCGCGAAACGATGGCAGCATCATCGTGGGCGGGGGGAAGTCCAAGTTCTAGGCCGACCGCTCGCAGTGATACGACGTAGCCGAATCGAGCCGGCGAGGTCGCCCATTGGCGGGTTGATGCAGAGGACCTTTATTAGGTGGAAAACAGCGGCGCCTACAGGAACTGCGTGTGGACTGGGAGTAAGCGTAAACTGCCCCAATACAATCCCGCATGCTGGCTGCAATTAGTCGATGACACCCGAAAGCTAATGCCACTTAACCCCAACCCAAGTCATGGAATATAGCTCCGATTTCATGCCGTATGTCGGGGAAGTGCCTGACAAGCCAGGCCAGATGGTTCTCGCCGGGTTCTCGGGTAACGGCATGCCGTCAATCCTACTATTGGCCAAGGGGACCGCGTAGATAGTGTGACAAGGGAAGTTGTTCGAGAAGACCGGCATACCATCGCTGTTCCGGCCAACCGAGGAGCAGGTAGACAGCACAAGGAACAGGATAATAGACCACTAGGCATCACCGGCAGTCAGTGCCCAGACAGTGAACCCCGCGCCACAGAGCCTAGCGGAGCACTCCTGTAGGCCCAGGCCTGGCTTGAGGGTGCGGTAGGCGGCTAGTAGGAAGTCACGGTCGGCGTCGGTGGCAAAGCGGTGCGGCTCCGGGATGCACGCCTGCCTAAGTGTGCGGTTGAGGATGGACGTCAAAGCACTTGATGTAGTGGCTGCTGGAGAGGCTCTTGTAGATGTATTCCTTCTCGCTGGTATCCATCCAGGCGTAGCCAAGGATGCGGAGTCCGACGCCCTCGGCCCGGAGCCGGTCGCCCATCCGAGCCTTGATGGTTTTGAAAAAGGTGCCTTAGGTGACTAGTGTTTCTGTCGGCTGTTTAGAATAAGCTGTGTGGGTTATCCGTAATTACTCCTGGGGCTGGGGCTGGGTTTTCTCCTGGCGGGTTGATTATTTGTCATGTACCGACGACATGTTTGTTCCCGGGTGCCATTGTGGACCGATATAAGCGAGGGATATTTGGCAGGTGGATAGAAGACTCCGGCGGTATTCTACTGGACAATGCTTGCTGGCATTTACATTACATTTCTACGCGGTGGTGCTAATGCGTCGTTTCAAGGGCTTTCTTTCTCTCACCTTGCTACCGCGATACACAGCAAGCGGTCGGCTACGGCTTCATGGCAGGTTATGGGGTTCCATGAGTCTTCATTGTAGACTGCAGGTAGTGATGCAATGTTGATGGTAGCTGCAATGGACGAGATCAAGTGGCTGTTTTGAAGAGGATGTGTACGCCATGCTAGGGGTAGAAGGGTCTCCTGCGGCGCTTTTGGATGAGGTAGTCTTTGATCAATAGCTGTTGATGTGGCCCTTGTTTAGCTAGGGGGTTACGCTGAACAAAGCTTACCTTCAAGGTGTGGTAGAGAGAGAGAGAGAGAGAGAGCTTACTTAGGATGATTCTAACATTATCTTCCTATCTTTAGAGAGCCTGGGTCTTAATCTTGGCGTAGGATGGTGAATCCGCCACCTACGACCCCTCCTGCATACAGGAATGTACCGCTACAAGCGCCTATGCTAGCCCTGCAGTGCCTACCATCACATCCATCTCTTCCCGCGAGAAGACCATATAATCCGGGTTCGGGCCCCGAGGCAGATGCAACACGCGCGGCACATAAGGGTGCTGCTGCGCCGGCGGCAACCGCATGATCCTGCAGCGGTAATCGGCAAAGAACTTGACGACGTCGGCGCCGGGCGGCAGGCGGTGGCCGGCGCCGTCGTTCTCAGTGCGCGGACTCTGCTCCCGCCACATCTAGCGACAACAGCGTCCATGCTAGCAGCGTCTATACTAGCGGCGCAAAGTTGCTCATAACCATTGCTTATGACCAACGAGTATCCTTGCTCATAACGGGGTTGCTCATGAGCAACATTGTTCATGGACATATTTGCTCATAATAATTAGTTCATGAGCAACCCTAGTTATAAGCAATGATGGTCTCAAAAGCCTCAACGAAGAAATCGTTCGAGTTGTACTGTAATACCCGCCACCCGCCTGTCTCTGACAGCACGTGGTTAAAGATCGCACCACTTCCAAGCCCTTCCAGAGTCCAGAACCAAAGACTAGTGTCTGGCGATGTAGGCTTCAAGCCCTCGTGGCCAAGCGCGACTGAAACGAGATTGAGGACATTTACAAGCAGAGGAAGAGCCTTATCGGTTGGGAGGTGAGTTCCGTTCCTGTCCTCCCACGTGCCAGGGCCTTCCCATGGGGCTGGAAGGGAGAGCTTGCCTGGATGGGCTTCCTAGAGACAGGCGAAGTTACCAGAGAGGCTATTGGATGTGCTGTGCGCTATGCCGGGAACCAAGGAATCCAGCACGGGTGGTAGATCGTACAGATTCAACGTGTCGTCGACTTCGCTCTAGTAGGGAAGAAGCCATTGGCCTTGTTTTCTTACTTGAGTTTCTTTTCCCTTTTGAAATCCCCCCAACCCCATCTTATTGGTATTTCGAACTGCTCGGTTCTCATTATTTCTGAAAGTTCTATATTATTGCCTTCGGCTTTGATAAACGAAGGGTGCATGTAACCTTGCCCTAGATTTGCCTAAATCTGCGCCCCATCCATGCATTTTCCATTTTCCATCTGAGTCGTCTCAGCCATGGCGCGCTTAAGCTCTTGCAAATAATCCCGTCAGACGTTTCGCCCATAGATGGCGATGAGAAGTATGCGCAGTCTAAGTTCAGCAGCTATAAGGCCATCTCATCAGACAAGTTCTTCGGCAAGTGTCCGTTCGTGTCGGCGATATCACCATCAGAGTCAATCACGGCGGTCCCACTTGCCGTTGCGCAGCAGGACAGTCGCGTCAAGGACATGGCAGTTGTATAGTGCGCAACTGCCTTACCTTAAGTATCTGACCCGGAAGCTTGAAGTGAATGGGAATGGAGGGTCTACATCCACGCCATACGTAGGTCCTCTACCCGCCAGGAGTAGTCCGTAGCCCAAGCACGTAATTTCTCATCGTCTAGAGACGGATGAGACAAGCAGGTCTGGTTAGCAAGCACTTCCGCAATATAGGATGGATTTTCAAACACACATAAAATGGTGGTGATTCGGTTGTGCAGTTCACAAGATAACTGTGGCAGTTCTTGGAGCTGGGTGAGGGCGGCCCGCCCGGTGGGTTGCCGAGATGGCATACTGGAGGCGCGTGAGGTGGTCGCCAGACGAGACGGATAGCTGGGCCTTCCCCTCATCGGCAGAGGCATGGGGGTCTTAGTCCCGGTACTGACAACAATAGTACAGAGGCAGAGTAGCACGTCACGTCCCAGAGCAAGACCGGATTGACACCTCGTTTCGCATGCGAGGGCGGCTGCTTCACAGAGACGGAGAGAAAAGTCTCAAGGGCTAATTCCAAGAGCGCCGAGTGTACCTAGCCGTTCCACGCTTGCTCTGAGACCTACTGATAGGCTAAGTGTGAGATATCAGACACGGTAGTGTTGGTTTACCCAAACCTAGAAGGTGTCTTCAGATGTCTTGGCATCCTATGTTTCCCAGACCAGCTGACAGACCTAGTCGAACGCAGCCACTCCCTCCACAACCTCGTTGCAGCCCCCCAGACTATCGTACCCGGCGAAGCGGAAGCGGGAGCTTGCAGCTGCGTCGCTGCTGTAATCCAAAATTGTCGTGGATATAGACTAGAATAAGGCATGCCCCTCGATCTCGATCTCTTTGCGCTTTGAGATCGCTGAGCTCTGGCTTACCGTGGACACGAAGATGCAACCTTCTTTGCCTAGGCGTATTATGGCAATGTAGCACTCACCAATCTGACGGGTCGTTTTGCAGGCAGACAGGGCGCGTGAATGACATTGGGAAGGGGAATCGGGGCGCGGAGTAGCAGCTGGCTATGACGATAAAGCCGATAGACAAGCTTGAGTAGTCAAGACTGTCATGTTGGTCAATCTTGTATATCTGGCGATGCTGTCGGCGCTGGGGTTAGATGATGGGGACTTTCGACCGTCACTCGTTGACTATCGACTTGCAGAACGTGGAATTTCAGGACCACGATACACAGGATCTTGGTGCTGTCCTTGGCTGGGGGCAGCGCGTAATCGGGGACGATCCACTTCCCCTCCAGTAAGAGCAGCGACACTGTCTTCTACCGGAGCCGCGGGCACTTCCTCCGATTCCCCGACTAGTTGTGCCCTGACGGGCGACAATACTCAGACACGGAAGACAGATGAGGATGGGAAGAATGAGAGTGGATCGGACTTTTTTAGCTTCTGTCACGACGGTCCCAACAATGCTAGTATCTCGCCACTCCATCCAGTCGTGGTCCTTGGCTGCAAGGCTATGTCAGCCTAGCCTAATGCTTGCCCTCCTTTCCAAGCGTGTCTTCTAAGAGACCCAGTGCTATATCACCGTCTTGCCCCATAGCCTCGCGCTAAAAAAGTAAAACCTGCCCAGCACAGAAAAACGCTCCCTCCCTACTAAGGCGTTACACTCCCTGCATTTTTTCAAGCAAAGGCGCAGCCTAAGGTAAATCAGTACACTGTCGCTAGCAAATAATATCGAAAATCACGGTTCTGCCGAAATCCAAAGTCTGCCAAAATCCCAACCAAAAATCACGATGCGCCACAATCGCAGTTCCGCCACAGTCCCAGGGCCGCCACCAAAATCACGGGACCGAAGAGTCACGGGACCACCAAAATCACGGGGGCCGCCAAAAGCACGGGGGCCGCCAAAATTCAAAATCAAGGCGCCGCCAAAATCACGGGACCGCCAAAATCGCAGTAGGTACTCACCTACCAGCACGAAAACCATGTGCCGCCAAAAACAGTACTGCCAAAGTCACGGTCCCACCAAAATCCAAAATCACTGCCAAAATGATGGTACCGCCTAATCACAGTACATACCTCTACAATGTGACGAGTTACGATAGAGGGCGCATTGTCTCGTACCAAACTCTTATCGCTTATCGCTATCGTTATCTGCATCCCAGATTGCAGCCTATCTCTCGCTTATCTTATCCGACAAGGACGGGCAAACTCCCGCTCCACGTACTTGTACTTGCGGAGTTCATTGAGAGCCCCACAATTTACAGCCTGAGGCACCACAATTGTTTGTTTTGATCCATGTTCCTTCTCTCCAAGTTCGACCTTCCTGTCCTCGACCAGCATCGTACTTTTCCCAACCACCGCTATGGACATTCATTTCAGCAGCTCTAACCTTCGTCATCAATCGGAATCCCTCCCCTCTCTTAGAAGTCCTCTCCAACCGCTGCCAGCACATGCGCTCCAAAGCGCCACCCGCCGCAACACGCGTCCAAAATCGGGACCTAAAATCGGGGCATTATCATCATGCTCCGGAAACAACGATCTTCGCCGCAAAGTCCTCGGCCTCCACACTGGGCTTCGCAAAACCGTACCCAGAAGCACTCACCAGTCCCCGCCGCCGCCGAAACCGACCAAATTATCGCGCAGCTCCCTCAAGCGCGCCGTCTCCCTCTTCGCAACCATCTCGACAGCGCCCGACCTCACCGAGTTCCTCCCGCACGTCGACCACATCGACCGCGTCTCCTCGACCATTCACAGCGACCCTCTCCGCGGCGCCGTCGACCTCGCGCACGCCTCGGCAGACCAGCTGCGAGCCTCCAAGCCCGCGCTGCGCAGACTGCTCGGCGCCCTTGCCCGGAATCGCCTGTACATCGACTGGCAACACGTGTGGCGCGCCATCGTCCTTGTGCCGACACCGGGTTCGGTTCAACGCCTATACCTGAAGAGATGGTGGAAGTGTGAGCCGCGGGTTACTTCTGACCGCGACGGCGAGCTTGATCTTGCCGACGAGATTGTGCTCTCGACGAGCGTGCGCGAAGCAACGACGCGGTGTTTGGACAGCACGCCTCTTACTGCTGCCGAGCAGGAAGACTTCCTCCAGCTTATAAGGAGTCCCTACCCGGGCGTTGGCCTTCTCGTCAACGCGCTTGAAGACTTGATCCAGACTCGAATATTGGAAGACAAAATGGGAGGAGCGGCGGCAACATTGGGAGAGGTGCGACCGGTTCTGGTGACTGCGTGCGCAACACACACATACTGCCGGTCCAAGCGGTGGGAGGCGCTCCTGGAGCAGGTGACATTGCCGTCGGCGTTGGAGGTTCTGCAGCTGCACCGGCAGCGACAAGAAAAAGCGGATGATGCTGTTGGGGCTGGGGATACAAGTTCGGACACGCTCGTGGCTGGTGGGAATGCCGACGCGACTGCAGCAAAGGCAGTCTGGGACCAAGAGGACTTGCTCGCCCTTCTCGACCTTCATGTCCTCCGGGCAGGGAAGTCGATACGGACAAAGGAGCCCCAGCAGAGAGACGAGGCTATCGATGTGTGGGTTGCCGCAGTGCATACATACGGCGCCGTATTGGGCGATGTCCTTGCGGATGAAGCACTTAAACGGGCTTTCGACTTCGCCATGGCTGCGACTGGCAGCGACAGATCGGCGCTGCTGCTGGAGCAGCTGAAAAGTCAGTTGACTGGGGCGCTGGCGGGAGCTGGGCAGGACACAGAGACATGCAGATTGCAGGCTTGGATGGAAGAGATTGAGTTCCAGCTTAGTTGGTATCACCAACCGGGGGCAGCTGGGGAGGAGGGTGATTGGACTTAGGATTGTTAGCAGGCAGGCAGAAGATACCCAATTTGATCGTTGTGCATACCGCCAAGCTGCGTGTCCAAATAATTACCCCGCACCTTGCAAATCGACTCTCGACAACAACCACCTTGGAAATTTCTCTCTCGATATGGAAGGTCCCATTCTTCGCCATCTAGCCCCGCTAGACGATGACCAGCTCCAATATGCAATCTCGCCCCTTTACTCGGCACAGGGGAAAAGTGGGCAGTCTCGAAGCCGAGCAAGCGAAGTTAGCAAAACCCAGAAATGGGGCCACCTCAAGACGGCATCCATCCGCTCTGCCTTGCTTCAGGTCTTGCAAGCACAATCTCCTCCAGGCCCAGGACCCTCCCTAGCGTACTTCCCCGAGCGCGTGCGTGTTAGTGAAGCCCACCGCGTCATCACATCCGAGTCCTCCTTCGAGACCCAATGCCTCTGGAGCACATTAATGGCGCCCATCAACGACATCCTGCGCCTCCTTGGCAAAGACATCAGCATCCACAGCCACCACCCCATACAGAAGACCAGGCCAGGGGATTCTAGGAAAACGCCTGACTGGCTTGTCCTCCGCGGAACCGCCGACGAGCTGAACGATGCGCGGCTTCGCACTGCGAACGAAGACCCATTTGCAGCCGGTTCTACCATCCGCGACCATATCCTGCTCGTCGGCGAGACCAAGGTCCACGACAATCGAATCGCAGGGCGCGGTGGCCTCATCGCCCCGCACACCCAAGGGTGCCGTCTCGACAACGTAGGCCAGGTGCAGGAGTACGCCGACATAGCGCGGGTGCGCTTCGGGTTCCTGGTGACGAACCAGGAGCTAGTGCTGCTGCAGTTCTGCGCCGACAGCCAAGATCACCACCCCCACGGCATGACGGCGTCCTCACCTGCGTCTTCGGCGGTGCTCGCCAGCCCAGACCGTCTAGCTCTGCAGCAGACGCCGACTGGCACGCCGCGAGTGCGCGGTCTAATCCGAGAGCACGAGCAAACGCCGGTGGTCCCACAAAGCTCGCCTCTCACGGCTATCCAGGCGGCCAGGCAGATGGCCGACGTTGAGCAGGACCGGCGGGAGCTGAGACGCACGCGCGGAGCCGTATGGGGTGCCGGAAGCCGGATGGCAGTCACGCCGGAACCCGGTCCGCTTCCGGCAGCGTCGGGGACGCCCGGCACAGACGACGGGACACATGCGGCGCCGACTGTTCAACAACATAGCATCCGTGATAACGACGACGAGACGTACGACGATCACGATACAGAAGCCACTTTTACGTTCCATCCACCATACGTTTCCAGCATTCCGTACAAGGCGTCTCTCTCCAGCAACATGCCGGCTCCCGCGGCGGCGCTGCTGTACCTGATTCTAATGGCGGATAAGTGTAAGGATGACGAGGTGCTAAAGCCGCAGCCGATAGCAATTCCTTTGTCATAGTAAACCTGGCATAACAACAACTGTTCCTTTGTCAGCAAAGCCCACGCTGCTGTCGGCCGTGACCGGCTCTCGTGGTTCTCCGCCCGGCCTAACCTTGCCGTCGTCGACGCTGTCGTACACAAGCTCTTCCGTTGGAGACTGATCCCCCAGAGAGCCGACAATGACGACGAGTTTGGAGGGGTCAAGATTGTCAAGAACATGATCATCATGGCGAATGCGGGCTGTTGGCGAGCGACGAATCTTCCAAGCCAAGTGCGTTGCTATCGACGGAATGTTTATGCAGTTTATAAACTTGTTATAGGCTTTCTGTTGTCTAAGCATAGCCTAGAATAGAGAGGAAAGTGGCAAAGGCAAGTCCATGTCTTTGTAGGAGTGACTTTCTTGATTGATTGGTTTCCGGATTCCAAGTGCGGGGGTTCGAAAAATCCTGTAAAAGGGATAGGCTTGTAGCAATACGTGCTTGTTTAGAATTGGTCGCTTTTGAGCCACCTTCCAACATAAAAATGCAGTTCCCTCTAACCTTGCACCTTGACCGAGTCTCATCAGTACCTCCCTTTCCACCCTCAAGCCTGCTAATTTTAAAGGGCAAAATGTCTATCACGGAGAGGTTTGAGAAAATCCCTGCCGATTAAACCAGGCATTCTCGGGTTCCAAACCGGGATAGCCACGCGACATCGCGGATAAGAATGCTTGCGGATCAGATGGTCATGTGCAGAGACTTAACATGCGTGACATATGGCTAGGGCTTGTGGGGTTATACAAGTACAGTATCTCTGGGTTGTTTTCGCCAGTTTGGCACCTGGCTAACTATGTGTCAAGTTCTCCGCACTGTATATACCAAAGAATCCGATGCACTATTCCCAATCGCCATTGGGAAGCTCCCTTCAAAAATGGGTGGCTCATTTCTACCTTCATCAAGATCGGTTCCCATTCTAGGGCAAGAAGGGAGCGACTGACCAAAAGTCCAACGGCTCAGTCAATGAAGAGCTAGGGCGCCGGTTCCGCGTGGAAGTGGTTGAAGACAAGGACAAGCTGAACCTGCCAAACCTTGACGATGCTACCTTTGAGGACATCAAGGCTTTTCGCAGGTACTTCGATCAATGGGTTGTTGCCTTGGGAGAGGATCCAAGTACTGCTGAGTACTCTACAAGCCCCCGTCTCTGCGACTTTCTCTTGGTCGACTCTGCGTCACTCCGTTCTCTTGCTGCCCTGCCTGATAGAACGCCCCCTCTCTGCCTTGCAGTTGATTTCGCAGAGAAACAAGGCTGGCAAAAAGATGGCTCTGCCCATGTGTGGCTAGTGGATTGTCGAGCTGTCGGACGTTATGATGAAGGCAACCGTAGTCCCGAAAGACGCGGGTGGATGAAGCTGGATACTTGCAATATTCAGGATTGTTGGCTCATCAGAGCATCAAGGCTGGATAGGGAAGACTGGATGCTAGGGTGTGCTGAGCGGCCTGAGGGATCTGGCAACTATTGGTATGACGATTTCTTCTAATGGTCTGTTTATTCAATATAGACGCCGTTCTACGCAATGCGTTCTTTTTCTGCAAAACGGGAAAAAGCCTGTATGTCAATCTCGGCCAAGGTTTCGCATTCTGTCTTCATGTTTGTGACCTAGGCGAGGTTCACGGCATTGTTTTGGATTATAAGTACAGTCTGCAACTCTCTAAGCCTTTTAACCCCAAACCTGCTAACTACCTCTCTCATGCGCTCGAGATTGGTCTGGAGCCAGTCGTCAAAATGGTCCAAAGCATGCACCTTCCCTCCCAACATTTTAGTCATGCCATTTTTCAGCCTTACAGATAACCTCTCAGACAGGGTTAATAACTATCTAGAGTCAGTTTCAGAGGTTTTGCTTGTTATGCCATGCGTCAAGTAGGTGGCCATGACCTTGAACAGAAGGGTGACGTTTAGTTTGTGTTGCGGATATGGGAAATAATTATACAGCAACTAAGAGAATACACTTACTTGTCTGATTTCTTCCTTGGTATGCCTAGGGTTGGGAGTTGTCGTGGGGGGTTTCGATAACCTTAGTCCTCCATCTTTCTCGGGGCAACAGGTGAGTCTCTAGTGATCTACAGCTGCATAGTGATTGTCAGTCGAATTGAGTTTTCAACCTGTGTTTACATCTTAGAGAGACCCACCTGCTCCTTCCTCCTATTCATTGTCTTAATCGTCAAAGTCATAACGTCTGGGTTGGTTAAATTCTAGTCATCGATTAAAACATGGTAGTTATTAGTTGCCATTAAGGGGAGGAGAGAAATGGGGGCCCGCGACATACCATCTAACATGTCATCCTAGTAGATATCCTTGTTCAAGAGCCCTTTTGTGAGGGACTTGAAGTCTAGCTTGCAACACCAAGCCTTGGCACCCTCGCCAAAACAGTTCTTATGGTCCATGGCTACCAGACCTTTACCTTCTAGACAGTTGGCATGGCAGAATTCAGACACATAGTCGGAGTCTAAGGAGCTGAGATCTGAGTGCCAGTCGCAACTGCTCCACTATGTGTTTGAGTCTAGCTAGTCACAGCAGTATTTCATATTGTCGGGATCCTTCATTAGACCACTCACCTACGTAACTGGTGTCGTGGCTGCTACCGGTGATAGAATATGCGACTGTGTTATGGATGCATGTTCCTTGGTTGCAAAGCGGATAGCCTGTCCACGGGCATTAGCTGTATATGTTCATACTCTTTTACACCAGTAGTGCAGCATGCAGCGTGATACTTGCGGACGATGCTGTATGTTTGAGCACTACCTTTCATCTAGCAATATTAGTAATTGATTGCGATCTGTCGAGTGCCATCCGGGCAAGTATCTAGCAACGTTGGTCAGCCTAAAGCGGCTTATCAAGTCAAAGAAGCTATAAAGACGGAATTCCAAGAGCAACAATTGCCCGAAATATGAGTGTTTTACGTACCATGCGGTTGAGAACAGAGGAAACTTCTATGAAAGGTAGATGGAGGCGGTTGCGTAGGGAAGAGATGAAGGAAAATTGATAAAGGAAGATTGAGAAAGGAAGATTAAGAGAGATGGGTTGTAGGTAGGGAGCGCATTAACAAGGATATAATTTATCAATCATAAGTTTATCTCTGCTGCTCACTTGGCCTCCACACCACAGCAAGCCAGAAAGGACAAACTAGGACAAACTAGATACTGAAAGAGGCCTAGAGTTCCCTACAAGCGCTAGGGGGCCTTGCAAGTCCTATTGATATAAATATCAGCTCTTTTTTTGCATCTTGGACTTGGAATAAATACAATCTTCTTCTTCTTCTTCTTTTTCTTCTTCTCCTTGCCCAGTCTTTAGCCCTTTTGCCCTCTTTCAACATAATTTTATATAGTTCTGCTACAAGTTTCTGTCTCCCTTCCATCCTCTTCCTAAGTTACACGCTTGTCTTCCACAACGTGGTAAGTCACATCAGGATCAAACATGCCCACTTTGTTATAGTATACATTTCAGTGCTGTATTAGTCTCTCGAGGGTCTTAGGCTCCTGCGCTGCCAAGTCATGTATCTTGCCAGGGCCTTTCTCCATGTCGTATAGCTTCCACCCACTGCTTGCTGCCTTGCGGCGCTGCTATGTAGATAGCCTTCCAATTGCCTTGGCGGATTGCCTGCAGACCAAACAGCTCCTATCCCGTCATAGCCGTGTTCTTGTTGTAGATGCTCGGCGCTGCTGCGAGGTCTAGCGACGCTGCCAAGTGCGGCACCCACGAGTGGCCGCGCATGGACACCATGTCGCGGCCCCTGAACGCCTGGAGATGCGGATGCGTGACCCTGGCTAGCTCCAGGAAGGTGGGCACAATGTCCATGACTGCCGTGAAGGTGTTGGTGTGCGAGCCTGGGGCGGCCGCCAGCGGCGGGGATCGCACCAGACAGGGGCAGCGGATGCTGCTCTCGGTGATCCACGTCTTGAAGCCTCATGACGGCGCCATTCACGCACAGGCCCAAGATGCGCCGTACCATGTGAAGAGTCCTGGTTGCCGATGTTGGCCAGCTCGTTGTTGTAGTGCTGGTCGTGTCAAGATATGAGAGAAGTTTGTTGGTGAAGGTCTTTGTCAAGTAAAAGTCTTCCGGGAGCTCTATACAGTGTCAAGATAGACACTGTCTCTCATCTAGAATATGCTGGAGTCTGCAATAGCCAATGATGGCTTGGCCTGGCCCTCTCTGAACTGTGGCTCATGGTTGTAGTAGTTCCTGCTGCCTGGCAAGTAGACGAGTCCCTTGTCAAATCCCCTTGAGCATGGTGCGTGCTCCTTCTCTGAGCCAAGGTGCCTGCAAATGACGTAGACTATTAGACTAACATCCCAAGTTGTTGTTACTATTTGTCACATCATAATAGTACCACTAACTATTTCCCTGATATCAAGGTAAGGTACCTAGCGTCTTGTAGAATCTCTGACAACGCAGCGATGCGAAAGTTCAAGTACCCCTCGTAGCCTGGTTTACCCTTGAACAAGTTGCTCTTACCCATGTGCTTGTCTATCTGGCTGAGACTTGCGATGTGGTTATCAGTGCCTGAAAACAGCATCAATCGTGTTGGGGAATATGCTGATGCTCTGTGGAAGTTTGTTAGCTGAACCCCCTCTTTGGCGATCAGGGTTATGTCGAGCGCTGGGGTCTTGATCTTGGAGCCAAACAGCCTAGTGTTGCTGAACCTTAGATTGTCTGCGACGATGACAAGGAAGTTGGGTCCCTTGGGAGAAGCCATGTCGTGCATGACTTATATGTCTTGGAAAGGGTGCTGACTTGGATATATTTAGCAGCAGGCACTGGAATCTCTTATATTTCAAAAGACTCGTGGGCTTGTGTTTTACAATTTGTTTCAGGGCATTATTTAGCTATGATGGAGAACGGATCCTGCATCTGTGTCCTATGGCAAAACTTATTGCCATGCTTGTCGTGCCGTTTACTTATGGCAATTGACAGCAAATGACTGGTTTGGCGCTAGATTGACAGGGTTTTGTGGGGAGACTGCGGAGATTGGCAACGACGGAGAGATAGCCTGGGGCCCCGTTCAGAGGTAAAGGTTTATATTCCGTCTTGACGGCACTCTTAGTTGGAACCTGTGCCATATAGCCATCCTTGTATAAGTTGGTCAGACTGATCACTGCTGTGCTTCTGTCTAGTTGCTTATCTAAGTCCTACCAGTCACATTGAAAACTGTGTGATGTTGTATTAGTTATCCGCGTTGGTTATCCTCCAAGATTCGGACAAGTCTTGACAACCTAGCAAGCTACGCTGTTTGAAAATGCAGCCTCGTCTCCAAATGCAAGCTCATCCCTGTATAAGCTCGGCGTTGAGTACACCGCCTGCCTCTACAAGTAGCATGTCGATTATGCCAGATGTCCATAATGAAATAAGTAGCTTACGAAAATTGTCGACCTCCAAGTACTGGTTCTCGTCTTTGGTTAGCGATGTGACAAGGGCATAATGAGATCTGTTGCGTCCTTTGACTCCTCCGCAGAGACAGTTAGAACAACTCCAAGCAGGCAGATAGTACCAAAGAATGCCGCTACTCCCGAGACAAAGGCTGCGATAGGCTAGGCGATAACCGAGGCAGTTTGTCAAGCCCTTACAGCGACAAGCTCTGCATAGTGAGTAGCTGGTTTCTCAATAATGACTGTATCCCTGGCGTTCTAGAGAAAGTAACTTACACCTGACCTGTGAAGGAAGCTTGTGTATTTCGCAGCTAGCTTACATCCAAGAAGGGAAACGAAACTAGTAACCAAGAGAGTCAATGATAAAAATGATAATAAATTATCATTCGCAACGCCCCAGGCAGCACCTCTCCAAAAAGAGTGCCTCTGAGGTAGCCGCCAAGCATCAGGGCCAGGGTAATACCTACCTAGAGTCTCACAACTGTCAAACGAGAGGATTTTTCTTGGACAACCGCGGATAATAGAAGCCCTCGACTACAAGTAACTACCTAATCTACATTCGCCTCGCCAACCTCCGCTTCCCCAAATGCTTATGCAGGAGACTGTCGCCATCAGAGGCTCGTCTAGTCAAACTCCTCAGGCAGCCTCATTGTGCCGTAAGCCATCTTCGTTGACAGTGTCCATGATGCCGGAGAGCGGAACCCGGGAGGCGGCCCGGACCATTGGGGAATTCGCAAGCAGTGCTAGCTGCAGCGTAGAGTTTTCGAAGGCTGATGATGTGCATGTCGTGGGCACGACCAGGTGTTTCAACTTGGGGACCATCCCAACAGCAACCACGCGTCGGCAATCAGAATCCCTGGCCCCTTTTGCCCTCTAGCTTCACGTTTGAAGTCTTACGCTCCCTGTCCTTGAGGCTGCTGTCAGGGGGACACCAGCGAGCAGGCTTTTGGCCCTTCACATCAACCATCCGCCATTCCGCAACCTACAAAGATGCTTCTTAACCGCCAGGTTCCCAAGGTGCTTTCAAGTCGACACCCTTAACCATGCAACGAAGACATTTCGGTTCCAAGGCACCCGCTTACTTCTTCACCGCCGTCAACAGAGAGCCTTCGGTTAGTGTCCCGTTGCTGAGCGTTGACACCTCACCATGGAATTGGTTTCGGTAGATGCGGTTAACTGGGTTTCACAATGCCGCAGGGTTGTTTCCGTTATCATAGCAGTATCGACCAGGTCCATCGCAGTTCCCACAACCCCGATCTCACCGTTCATAAGTGCACGCCCCCTCCTTGTTATCCTCATTCCGCTCGTCGACCAGGCCATTGCTCAAGGGTTGAGGGAGGTTCTTTGAGACAGAGAGGTTAGGGGTTGCAATGGTTAGTCAGTTGTTATATATAACCGGGTGCTACTGTAGGCCCGCAAGCGTGCCAAGGCCGTCCCAGACGTCCGCTAGGGCAGCAAGCAGCCTAGCCAATGCCAGCGGGAAGATGAGGGCTAGGAACCAGAAGGTTGAGCCTGTAAAGCTTGTAGTTTATTTTACTCAGGCGATTGAAACTACACCCAGGTTTGCCATTTTTGTTCGTGGGCTCTTTGACTATCACCCTCCCCTTATAAACCACCGAAACCGACGCTAATATCCTGTTTCCCCATCTGGCTAAACAACCAGTGGCCACAGCGCGAGCCGGTCCGACGTCTACCCTTGAGGAGCCCATCCTTGATCCATACTCAACTCGTCCAACATGCCGTCGGGAAAGCTCTCCACGACAGTTAAGCTAGCGCGTACCATGCGACGTCATTGACATACCCTTGGAGGAGGACGCGGGACTTCCTCGTGTTCCGCAACCTGGACGCCTACGAAGGACTTTGTCTGGTGAACTTCCCCTTCTCCGGGGCCGGGCAATGCTATGGCTAACAAGTGTGACAATGCGACCGCTTCTGTGAGACATCTTCATTACATTAGTAAGTATTAGCAACCGAAAAGGCCATCGTTGATGCTCTCTAGTCGTTCCCCCACAATGTTAGAACATGTGCGCCATCTGGCCAGACCGAATCGCGATTTGGAATACCAAGCAACCGACGCCAACCAGGGGAAAACAAATAGAAACGCTCCGCTTTCTCCTGGAATAGCGTGACCACGTAGAACAAGCCCGGGGTTAGTGTCTCGACCGTCACGTCTAAGTAGGCCAGGCGGCAGCCGCCCGCTCTAGCTCGGGCCTGGTCATAGGCGGGTGGTGCAGGTCGACAGCGAGATATCTCAGCCAACGGGTCGACGACTATCACGGAATTGGTTGTCGCCAGCGAGAGAGGTGCAGGATAGTAGGAACCCGCAGGATACGCGAGTTTGCCACCGGACAGTGCTGCTCTAAGAGACGGATCGAGATCCACTAGGACTGCCTTGGTGCCTTTGCTGCGCTGTCAATTCGTAACCTGGTGCCAGGAGATAGACACTATCTTCCACAAGGTGTACAACGGGTCTATGACGAGCCCTGCTAGTATGGAAAGAACGGCAATCGTAGATGCCTCCGTAAACCATGCATGGTTCTTGGACTTGTCTCACTGCTCCAGCCATATCGTTGATGGAGAGGGGCGGAGACAAATACCTGCTCTCCAATCCTGAGTTTATCTCGACCCAAGGGGGGATTGGCAACAGCATGCGCGAGAATCAACGTCTCAATCCTTGAATCCCATGCTTTTGGCATACTGACAATCACGGAAGAGAAGAAACCCTGGCCTTCTACCTCTGCAATGTTGGACTGGTATTTGGATTGCCTGTATTTGAATCCGGCAATCAGCAAGTCTGACTATTAGGCTCCAGATGCCTCGATTGAGGAAAAGATTACTGAGATTTTCGAAAGAGAACCCCTCAAGAAAGCCTGAATCGACGAGAAGATGTCAAACGCAGCCGAACGACAGGCAAAAGACTCCCCCATTTGGATAAAGCTGCTAGAGTGAGCATTTGCGGTTACCTTCGCCGCCTGATGACGCTTCGAATTTCGGGATAGCCTCCAGTAGCTTAAAGCAAGGCCCACTTTCCCAAATCACTTCCCTAGATCACCGCCAGACTCTAAGTCTAATGATTTTAAGTCTTGTGTAGAGATTAACCAACCTGGCAGTTCCATGACATCCCAGGCAATCCATATCATCTGGTTCCCATCCCGCTCCCTCTTTTCGGTGAAACCCTTTCCGCTTAGTATCGAAGCTCCGCTGATATTTTGCGCAAGAACCTCGCCATCAGGTTGCTGAAAGCTATTATCTCGGTTGAGTATGGATACACGGCAGTCTAGGAGCCAGGGTCAGGGCTGGGGAGTTGGAGGTGGAGTGTCAGTTTAGAACATGCTGGGTTGCATCAAGGCTAGGATAGTGGTGTTCGTGGTTTGCGTGGAGCTATTCGATACAGCCGCTCGAGCCTATGGTGAGGTGGCTGTCGCTTATGGCAATATATTAGAAGGTGTCGATAGTGTCGTTGTCTGGAATCTTCGTACCTTTTAGCCATGATGGTAGGTAGTTCTATATCCCCCTATCGCGAGTTTAACATAATGCAGGTCTTGTCACTAGGCTAGAACAATTGCATCATTGTCATGACCAAGCTCCTCGGCACGCCCTGTCTGCCTTTCACAGGAAGCTCCTAGCAGTCGTCTGCCTTTGCAACAGCCGCCTCATAACTAATACATCTAATATCTCGAATGCATTGACGCTTGCATCGCAGTTAGCGTCTTGTCTAAGTACGTGACTATTAGGATATGTCTGTGTCTTAAGTTCCGCCTCTTTGGCGCCAACACTGAAGATGCCTTCTCCAGTGTTTGCACCTGCCTTAGCTCTAGTTCCCATGACTGCGTTTGCCTCGGCGCGGCACTAGTTGCTGCGAAGCCGTCGGTGGGAGCAGGGCAGGCCTTGGAATGCTGGCGTCTCGCATCTGTGCCAACCCCAACGAGACCACGGGCGTCCGCAGCTACGCCATCCTCGCCAGCGTGCAGGACAACCCGGCCCTCTTCGCTTACGGCAAGTCGTTCGACTCGTCCCTCGGCGTTGGGTCCTTGTCTATGGCATATCTAACTGCGCTGCCGGGCCCGGGCGTCTTCGGCATTCCGGAATCGATGTCTAGGTTGGGGTCCAGGTTCCGGGTCCGGGTCCGAGTTCCGGGTCGGCCCCCTGAGAACCGAGTCTGCTCCTGAGAAGAATTTACAAGCCTTCTTGAGCAACATCACCACACCTTGAGCTCCCCCTATCTTGGAGCTACCAGCCCGGACATCCAGTCCGAGGTTGCAGATTTCCATGTCTGATCCCGCTGCTGACGCGTAAGGCAGGAGGCTAGGATGGAGATCAGGACGCTAAAGGTCAGGCCAGGCTTATGGAACTAGAGTTCCGGAGCCTGTCGCTGGGTCAGGCCACGTTGCTGGGCCGGTGGGAGTCAAGTTAATGTATGCTTGAGATGTTCAAGACTAGAGTTATTTACTCCGTGTTGCTCACCAGTTATATTGTTTTGCAAACAAATGCTGCTTTCGGTAATGGGCTAGGCGTGACTAGGGGATCGGGAAACACACGGCTTGACCTGTCTAGGGCAAAGTTATCGGCGAGCAGCGAGGCCGGCGGTGGGTGTCGAGGCTGCAACAAGCGGGTAATTCTGCGAGCGCGTTCACATCGGGGGCCTCATCCAGCTCCTGGCCAGGGAGTCTCGCCCATTCCCTTGTTTTTATTGCTGCGCACCACCGTCAATCTCGGACAAGTCCTCATGCTTTGACTGAGCAAGTTCCGCCTGCGTCGTCTCGCTGGGATATACCGCAGCAACACTTAGCGGTACACCATGCCGCTCTTTCTAATGGCTTTAGGCTCGTGAAGGAGGGTGTACCTGTACTTCTCCTTCTCAAGGTGGCGCCGCCGGCGGGTCCGACGACTGCGTTTGTTTGTGTCGTGTAGCGAGGAGGGAGGCGGTGGCGAGCATGGTGAGAATAAGAGCAACGGCGCGACCCTGCCCGGGTCTACACCATGGACGGCTTGTCGGGAGTCATGGTGACGTTCGTGCTAGCCAGGTTGTACTCAGAGTACCTAGGTACTTCTTGACCATGCCTCCACAAAAGTGACTCTTTATAAGGCCATGATTCAGTCAAACGTCATCAAGACCCTAAATATAACCAATGCCTATTTTTTAAAGGCATTCTTCGCATGTATTAAAGAGAAGTGTCGGATTTGAAGCATTCAGAGTCGTAACTATTCTACAACCAGGACCTTTCCAGGCCGCGGGCTTGGGGATCTATTCATTGCAGCCTGTCCTTAGGAGAGAAATAGAGAAGGATGTTGGTTCTATTATTCGCCTTTTCCTAGTCTACATCAGTTCCGGCATGTCCTTACAAAACTGAATGCGTTGTCTGTGACAAAAGATAGCTTGGATGGAAGCATAAATTCCGACGCGAGGCCTGAAAAGTCTCTCGCTAGGTTGGCTAGCAAGTCGGTCGGTTCTTCGGCCGACCGTGGTCGAGGTGCGTGAGGTTGCGAAGCTGACGACGAAGCTGGTCGACGAGAATTGACCCGGGGGGGCCGGACCGCCGCCGCCGCCGCCGCCGGAGTAGTAGTCTAATGAGTAGTCGTGGCACGCGCAGGCTTCGTCCGCTGCAGGTTGGGCATGTCCGACAGGCCCATTGGGGGGAGAATATATTCCTGCAATTGGCAGCCAGGCACAACCGCACCAAGCAACGCTCCCCTATACGCATTCACACCACACCAGGAACTCCCCAGTCAAACGCCCTTCGTCCAGCCATCGAGTGTTCCCCTGCGGCACCAGCTTGACCAACAGCCTGTGCTTATAGATGGCGCCCACCGACAGGATCCTTTAGCCCGACCACCCCGTCCGCATTGTTTGGTCGGCCCCGAGCCCTGCCGACACCTACCGAACTGTCGCGGCTCCTGGTGGTTTGGAAAGCCGTCGATGCCCGAGATCCTCCCACATCAGAAAACTGTGCTCGATCCGTCGATAATAGAGGACATCGGCGGAGAGGATTACCATGTCTACGCTCTCCAAAGGATAAAGCCGCCGGCTACAAAAACGCAGGCAGCTGATAAGTAGTACCTTCGGGCCAACCTTGAGATAGTGTAGCCTATGGCCTAGGAGACTTTGCCCTCTAGCCTCTCCCTCGGGACTTCCTAACCTATAGCGACGCGTCTTTAAGTGACCGCTCTCTCGGGTTGTTGATTTGGTCCTTACCCCCAACCATCTCCAATTCAATGGCAAGCTTGCCGATGGCCATGAGGTCCTTGAGGCATAATGTTCCAAACGTGAGTGCCCTTGTGTTTGTTGACCATGGTGTCGAGCTGTTCACTCCCCTGCGCCTGCTGGCAGAACCTGGGTCGGTGTGCTGTGACTATGGGAGCCAAAAACTCTTTATGTTGTTCGCAGAACACTGCTCATGTTGATGCATAGGTGAGAATCACGGTCCAAATACTCAAGCGCCGGATATCAAGGAGAGAGAGAGGTAGGGGATGACCTGGCTGCCGTCGAGCTCAAGTGCGTCGGGCTTCACACAACGCCGTGCGAGGCGATCCTTGAGGTCGCGGGTCTCGGCAAGGACGGCTTTGCGGGGCCTGGCGCGCATGTTCCCCAGCTTGGTGACGTCGATGTCGCGCGTCATGGATAGGCTGGACGGCTTGCAGAGTGTGCCGTCAAAAAGACGGTCAAGTAGTATGTGAAATTGTCGAAAGACTCTAGATCGGCGAGCGTCTACACACAAATGATGACCTGTAGGACTCGCTGATGAGGGCACCCAGCTCTGTGCCAAGGCCCTCAGATACAGTTCTAGGCAGAGAAATAAACTTCTCGAGAGGAAAGATCGAAAATGCAAGCCCTTGGCTCTAGCTTTGGCCTCCGCCTTTGTCCTCGCCGTGGGGTTAGCAATAATATGACCTGTCCTGGGCAAGGCTCGCTGCCCTGACAGCCGAAATCAAGCTCCCGTTTATGAATGTCCATCTATTTGGCGCAACATTAGCGACTAAAATGCTTGGAGGCGCGACTGATGTTCTGGCAGGTCTGTTGGATGTCATGTATTACGGTTGGCCACTCTCCCTCTACTTGTTTGTCACGATGTTACAGTATGGGTTCGAAGTTCAAAGCCTCCCGTTACGGCGTTTGGTAAGCGACAGGTATAAGCAGTTGCTAATTTGACCTTCATTAACCGGCTGGACAGGAACTGAAAGCCGACGCTCTGGCTTACAAACTCTAAACTCACGGCCAACGTCCACACTTGCTGCCCAGCCAGTCCGTTAAGCAGCCCCCTTTCTCCTCTCCTGCCTATACTATACCCTTCCGAAACATAGCCCCAGCCGCCCCAGCCCCCGTCTCAAGTTGCACGATAGCCGCCCCCGCGTAGAACTAGGTAAATCGCGGCAAAAGGAGGTACGGTATGCTGCTGTCATGCCTATAGGTTACTATAAGCATTTTCACAAGTGTTTTCACGTCTCGGAAGTATTTTTCTTCCTCACGGGACTGCATAGCTTTTGGGCCTCTTTCATCATATCGGCATCAAATGCAATTATGACCTTCTCTCTTAGCCCAGCATCCAGAAAATCGCAGAGCTAGAGCATAACATCCAAACAATGTCAGGTCGCCACACCCTCCAAGCACCGCAGAGAATGAAGGTAGTGCAAGCCAAATCCGACAAAGAGGGCGGCGGCGACAAACCTAGCCTTCCCTCTGTCCTTTCAGTTGGATAGCTCCGACGCAACACTCGTTCAACTTCAGGTGATATCGGACCTCACATGCCGAGTTCTATCAGAGTGTCCCATGGGCAGTTATAGCCAGGCTAGTAGTGTTTCCTCCAGCAAGACCAGAAGCAAAGTTGGCCATGACCACGCCGTTGGAATAAGGGCATGCAGGTAGGCAGAGAAGGACGCTGTTGAGAAGGGGAAACTGCTTGTTTTCTCGTCGTCCTCTTGACAAACCATGTTCAAGGGGGAGAAGCCGGACACAAGTCTGGAGAAGGGAAGGAGAGCATGAGGCATGAGGGTGACGTGGAGAGGACGGCACTTGACACGCTACTTGAGTACCGGCCGTGCCAGGGTGGCGGCGAGGCACGTACAGAGTGGCTCGACGTTTTCGAGAGGCAGCGTGCACCTGCTGTGGCCAACTATGCCGAGCCTTGCAGAAGATCACTTCGTTGGAACTAAAAGATCACGTTGAAATTGCCTCAGCCATAGGCGTAGAGTAGGTCAACTTCCAGAGCCTTGACAACCTTACGGATAGGGATCCAAGTCACAGGGCCGCGCGGGTGAGCATGACGGATCCTTCGGTTATCGAAGAGAATTGCGAGACTTTTGGTATAGGTATGGACCACATTGAGTAAGGTTAGGCCAAGTCAGCCTCAGGGGTAAGAATGGAGGACCAGGTGCGGGTGGCAAGGTTCCTTCCTAATGGTTTGCTAGATACTGATACTTAAAATCTAGTTGCTATATTTAAACCTCTCCTCGGCCAAGTGTTAAGCATTGTCAGCACTTTCGAGAAGTTAGGTTAGGCCATTGCAACTCATTTGACATCAGAGACAGATTCACCCTCCTAGGCTATGTAGTGTACCCTGTCACCTGTTTTCCCAGTATGGTGACATATTTCCAAACGGCTTTTTAGGTTTGGAGTGACGGTGAGGACAGTCATTTCTTTCCGCTTTGGCTCTGGCACTGCTGCATGCAGAGGACAACGTCCTCTCTCTGGTCTTGAGTGTGTCATCGCCTATTTTCTACACGGCTTGGTCTATAATTAGTCATAGACTAGATACAGAGCAATACTGTTTAACTACCCTCCAATGCAATATAACCACTCCATGCCAAATCTCGGTAGCATCTACAAAAGACCCCAGCATGCAGGTTACTAGACTAAAGGCGGCTTTGACGAAGGGAGGTGGGTTTGAGAACAAAGACAATGGCAAGCTCTACTAGACTATAGTATAGATCTGAGAGATACGGTAGCAGCCTAGCTGTGTCGCAGGCCTGATTCATGACAGGGATCTCCTGTCAGGGAGGCGAGGAGGAGATTTGATGGTTCCTTGGGGGCTGCGGAAGGGCTAGCGGTGGGGGCGGCGGTGGGTTTGCCTGTTTTGTGTCGTTAGCGCCTAGCCTATGATGATGAGATAATACCACCATTGCGGTGCAGCTTGAGTCAAGCTTAGAGTGAGCGAGGTTAGGATTCACTTGGGCCTCTAGAAACATAGCTGCAGACGTTGTCAGCTTGTGTCTAAGGTGATGCTGGTATCCCAAGCTCCTCTTCTTTGCTGGATTGTCTGACTTGCAACTGCATAGAGGCCCTTCCCTGCGACCAATCTTAGCACATTATGTTCTTAAGGATCCTAACTGTCAAAGTTGCACAAATTGGCTCAAGTCGCTTGCATAATAGGATGTGAATGGCAAGTTGGCGATTGACCCTCTCCAACAACCCTAGCAGATTCTAATTTTGTTAAACAGGAGGCGACGCCAGATTTGTAATCAAGCATGTTCAATATGACAGGGACTGATTACATATAATTACAATTTTCCTTGGGATTCTAGCACACTTTGCCAGAGATTCGCTTTAAGGAGGTGATATCACCTACCATAATTATATTCTAGATATACTTCATTTAAGCTAGGATGGAAAGGCAATGTAGCAAGAAGATTGGTATATATAAACTGGTAGCAGGGGAACTTCCCTAATGTAAGGATATCATTCTACACTTCTATTAACTGCTTTCATCTCTGGGTTTAGGGCGCTGGAGACTTGGAGCGATGCTGATGTTGAAGTCTTTTCATGTTTAATTACTATCGAGAATGGGAACAACGCATAGGCAAACTCTGCGCGAGAAAGTGATGAATCACAATACTTAGAAGACAACCATTGTCTTAACACACTTAGGTACCCTTGCATTTGTATATTGGTTTGAGTTTCGGCAACCTTGACGTTTTAGTTCTCTTGTGAGCTATCTTGAATAGCTTCGAGATATAGATATTCGCGAAGGTCTTGTCAGTTTACTTCTCTGGACTTTTTGAGCCTTGGAGGACCATGTCGAGGATTCGGTTACCAGAATCCCCAGCTTCGCTATCTACTAGTCAGAGGATTGCCTTCATAACGAGGGTTATTAACGACAATCTTCAAAGATCCAAAACCCTGGGCAGCTAAGATTACAACTGTCTTGCTTATGCTTTCTGCCTGCCAGATGAGGAAGTTTCTTGCCAACCAAGAGATATTTTCACGTCGAGGAGCCGGGGCAAAGTCTGGTAAATTCCATCCACCCTGTCTGGAGAGAATTTGATCTCCTTTTCTTTCCACGGCCTTCGAAGACCAGGAGTTGAAGCGGATCACTTTTGCGCCTTTGAGAGGAGCTTTTTTGTCGCCAGGGTCTAGATGATTTCCCCTAACATGTCCTAGATTACCTAGACTAGACTGGGATCTGGAAGAAAGCTATCACATTGTTAATCGGTTTCCTCCGCCGCATAGTCAAGTTATTCTTAGTTCTCAGATGTCTCCTTATCAAGCTCTCTGTCCAATGTCTCTGTTCAACCCAAGGTGGGAAAGACGCTGATGACTTTCGACACAGTAGGGCAGGTGTTTAATACCTTGTGTAGCTTCGGCACCAGATCTCTGTCCCGTGTTGGGCTGTTCGTAAATCCTACCCAACTCTGTTGCTGAGAGGACCATTCGGCATATCCAGCAGCAGCCAAGAGCCTTACCAAGCCTGCCATCCCCCCTTTCCGTTGCTTTCTAAAGACTCCACATTGGCGGCAAAGTCTACTAAGAAGGGCAAGAAGGCACACAAGCCTGCCATAGAGAACATGAAATGGTTTATCTAGAGACAAAAAAGGATATTGTCTAACGATGCCGCCAAATGTGTTCAGGGGTAGTCTGGCGCCTTCTCTAACCTAATTCTCCCCTCCCTCATTCTACGCTGTCTTCAATGTAGTGTTCCATTCGTAAGTTTAAGGAGAAGGTCGCATCGACAGCGGCTGCGATATGTGCTCGGCACGGGGAGGGGAGGCAGGTGGGTGATGAGATACTTGAGGGAGTAGGTTATTGGGAGGGACCGGGTGGTCTTGTTGTCCTGGTATTTCTCCAACTAGGATGTTTTGCGTCCACGAGTTAAGGAGGGGAAGGCAACCTTGATTTTGGAGGGTGTACTTGATAAGCTCAATATCCGAGTTATTTGTGGAGCAAGATATCCAAACTATCGTGCTAATATTGGAAGATAGTCTATAGCAGGACAATTTAATCTCACGAATGGGTACCGGATTCGGCACAGGCTTGAGATGTCTTTTATCCTCGGATCTTGAATACCAAGCCGCTTATCACATCCATCCTGCTGCCATCTAAACTCCTTTTCCAAGACCGTCTCTGGGAGACTTTGGTGAAGACTCTATCTTAAGAGTCATTGGACTCGCCCACGTTGACGACCCTGGTGAGTCGATTCTCTCGCGTTGGAGCCAGTGCGCAACCTAAGGTTGGAAAAAAGAACCTCTTCATGGAGTCTAGGCTGTGGCAATTTGCTGGAGGGCGCTCTATGAGTTTCGATATGCATGGCGGCGGGTTCATTGATGTTACCAATGCGGTTGAGGTTGAGGTTGTTATGAGAGTGTGGTACTGGAAAATACCGAGGAGAAGGAGTGATTGATTTCGCAGGACCGTTACTTCTACGCCGGCTTTGAATGTTTAAGCGGCAATCTATTGTCCTGGGCTTGCAACGGCGCCTCGCCAGCATCAGCCCTGTAAGCCGGTAGAGACCCAACTAGACCCTCATCGGTGGCCTCGGTGCCGGCCTCTTTTTGTGGCGCTTTTCGTTCTTGCAGGATCGCTTCTTGGGAGCTTTCATGTGCCTTGGTGATTCCCAGGTGTTGTATTTAGACAGCTAGCCTACCCACTTGACAAGATAGTAGTACGTCTCTGTCTGATTCCGTGTCGTTGCAAACCTATTAAACCTCCCAATCTTCCTCGGCGTTGTCAGGGTTAGGGGAGGGTCGCAGGCCTTTGTTAGGATGTAGGCGCTAGAGGTTTAGTAGCTGGACTAGAAAGACGTCATGAAGGCAGCTATACCTTATCAGAGAGGGTGAGGTTATACGCCTAGCCGGCTACCTTCTTGGTGACCCGGTAGGGCTTGATCCAATGTAGGATGAGCTTTGGGGTTTTTAACTGTAGGTTCTGTTCGATGACTTCACTCGATCACCCACTTGGTACCGCTTTAGTGGATGGAAATGGTTGTGATATTTTCCATACACTTGCGGCTGCAGCCAACTTGCCCCGTAATTCTTCCCTAAGCAACTCCAATATCTGCAGCTGCACTTGAACTCCGGACATCACCGGGCGCTCCATCACCGACTGGGCGGCGGCAGTCTGCCTAAGGTGGTCCCTCCTCAAAGTTTAATCCATACTGGTGCCCCCTGGAGTCCAAATGCCATTGCTCGACATTGACGCGATTATTCGGCCCTTTCACACCGCGTCGGTCTATATCCCTGAATGAAGGGAGAGACATCGCCGAGTCCTTCACCGGCGACGAGGAGGCTGATATTAGTGGCTTCCCTTACTCTACCTAGAAAGCCCGTGGCACGATTGGGCGTATCCATCTTCTTGCACGAACCATCTGTGTTAGAAGCCATTTGCGGTGCCGGAGCTGGGGCTGGGGCTAGGGCTGGAGCGGAGAGAGAAGGTTGTGAGGGCAAACACAGCTCTTCGAAGGGTCTGCAAAACAACGGCGAGAGAAAAACGCGATCGAGCACAGAAGGTTCTCAAACCAACTGGCTAAGGGGAGCTGAAACTGTCTCTGAGATTATTCTGGGCATAGAATTGACATGGCATGAGGCTGCCTCAACCTTGATTGGGCAATTTGACACTTGTTTACGATTTTGGTGTCGATGACTCTACAATTCTTGGACGAGGGCAAGGTTATGGTTCTCCAAGCGGTGGCCACTCGGCTCAACAGCACCTAATTACGCAGCCCCAAGAAAGGCACCAGAAATCGAGGTGATCGCAGGCTAGACCGCTCTCTTTACGCGCCGCCCCCGCCCCCCTTTAGACAAGCGCCCGTGTTTTGTACTTTGTCAAGGTGGATCCCGAAGTGTGTCCATGCCGCGTGGGTTTGTCTCTTGACATCGACATCGACAAGGTGAAGCGAGAGTCCGGCAACGTGACCAAGTGGAGGATGCAGCATGCCCGAGATTGTGGCTCCCACGGAGAAATTGTGGGATTTTCGGAGCAAGAAGTCGAGACAGCAACTTAACGCTAAGGCCAAGCTGCGCTTTAAGTTGTTTGGGAGGAGAGTTATTAGCCTGGAAGGCGTCCTTCCATGTACTGTACCATATCGTGGGCTCCCTCGAAGGAGACAGTTACATCATGGAAACGCTCTGTTCAAATCATAACCGTTGTAAGGTCAAAGGACTTCAGTCCCGAGTCTACAAGGACAAATAATACACCGTATGGCCAGCATATCCCCTACGGAGGCCGTCAAGAGTGTCAACCGCTTTTCTACCCATTATATCGTACGATGTAGCTTTAACCCAAATCTGTGGTGCCCCTGAATCCTCTAGGGGTCTTTTGGCAGCGAGGCTTCTCCTAAAGCGGTACACCCACCACACGAACCGCTCAGGGGTTCCATTTTAAGGTACTGTCTTTTGTTAGGAGTCTCCTTTTCCATTGGTGGTGTAATTAGTTCTTGGCGAGGGGCTTCTTCGAATCTCAAACTCGACAATCGACTGGAGCTCTGGGCTCGAGGACGGTTGGCATAATGAGGAGGGGCGGCTTAGTGGGAAGCCTAAGGGAGAGTTGGAATACGCAGTAGTGACGAGGAGGCAACCTGGACGATTATTACTTGACAGACATTACGTTGTATGTACGGGATACACGTATATTCCTTCGTGGCTGGTCGAGGCTCAGCCTTGTGCTTCTCTATGAACATAACAATACAGATACAGCAATAGAGCAACCAAAGAAAGCAACAAGACAGCCCAAGTTATTGACCAAGCCAGCACCAGTTCATCCCCTCAGACAAAGCCCCCACCACGAAGCACCTCCTCCGCCTCCGCACACTCAGCCAAGAAGGCCTCGACAACGCCCTCAGGCCCCTTAAAGTCAACAACACCAAGCCGGTCCCGAAACGCCGTAGCAGCGACAATCCGCGTCCTGTGCAGCCGACGCAAGGCAACCAGGCTAGTCAACGCCGAGCGCGCCGTCTCGATCGCGTTAGCCGTGGGCCAAAACACCTTTGCCGCGCCGCTCGCGAGGTCGACCATCCTCCCAAGGGCGTCGACCTGCTCGTCCATCTGCGCAAGCTCGTCCTCGGACCTGCGGAGCTCGTCGCCCGCCGCGGCGAGAAGACAAGTAACGACGCGGTCGATGTCGCGGAGGCGGTCCATCTTGGCGGCGCAGGCGGCGCGGCGGGCGCGGATCTGAGACAGCCCGGTGGTGCGGAGGTTCTCGACGGACTGGATGCGGCGGTGGTACTCGGCGACGAGGCCGCGGAGGCGGACGACGTCGGATGCTGGCGGTGGGCTGTGACTGTCCTGCTCGGGCGTGAGGCGGAACCGGTCGTCGGCGGCCAGGTCCTCGGCGGTGAGGAGGGCGGGGGAGGCAGAGACTCCCCATTTGGTCATGGCGGCGGCTGTGGCCGGGTCCGGCGGGGGCATCATGGCGAGGACGAGGCGGCGCCAGAGGGCTCCGTCGAGGGTGTCGGGCATGGGGATGCCGGCGGCTTGGTAGAGGGCCGCGACGATGGTGTAGACGCCGCAGTCGGAGACGTTGGGCTGCTGGGGGCCCAGCCTCATGGCGAAGGTCCACTGGTCCCAGGTGCTGGTGGTGTCGGGGAGGAAGCGCGAGACGAAGGCGCGGACCATGTCGAGGGCCTGGCGGGTGTGGACGGGGCTGGACAGCGAGTCGACGAGGACGGCGGACTTGGACGCGACGACAAGGTAGACGAGGACCCAGTGTGTGTTGCCCAGGTTGAGGGGGAGGAAGATAGTGATATCCGAGTCTTGGAGATGGACTCGCAGGGCCTCACGGACGGGACCGTCACCGCTGGTCTTCTTCGTCGTCGCCGCAACGATGACGGTGCTCGGGACGGTGCGGAGGTTCGCTTTCTGGGCGGCGATCATCTCGATGGCCGTATCGATGACGCTGTCGTTGAGCCAGGCGGTGGAACTGAGGAGGCTGCGGCGGTCCTCGGCGGCGATTGAGGTCGCCCAGTCCGGGTGCTCCCCACCAAGATCGTCCTCCCTACCAGCAGCTCCGCCTCCGTCTTCGGCATCCGAAATGACAACGGCGTCCTCGATCGGCGCCAGTACCTTCTGGCGTTTGGCCTTGGGCGACAAGAGAAAGGCCGAGCTATCGTCGGCGGCGCTGCTCTTCCGAACATTGCTGGCCAAGCGGGTGTGGCGGGCGACGCGGAGAGAGGGGGGTTCAGAGCAGGAGCGGGAGGTGAATTCCATCGACACATCCCCGATGATTTCCGGCTCTGCAAGGCTGGTGGTAGGAGGATCCTAGCCGACTGCCACGGGAACCTTGGTGACTGGAGTGACCGGAGCAACAACCGGCGATCCAAAGACCATGTCGTCATCCGATCCGAGGGCCATGTCGTCGAAGTCCGATGGGACGGTGCTCCCATCGCGCTCGATAGGGGGGAGCTGCTCGGCGCTGGGCGTCTCAACATGTTGCTGAGGGGTGTGCGGCTGCTGCTCGGGCTTGCTGCGTGGGAGGCTGCCGGCCATGACAATGCGGACAGGTCGGGTCTGGGGGGCGAAACAGGCGTCCGAGGCACTGGCCCGGGGTTCTTCGATGTCCTCGGAGACAGCGGTGCGGCGGTGGTCCGCGCTTCCATCCCGATCCTCGGCTCCGTCGTGAGGCTCGACTCCATCCTCATCCTCGACTCCATCTTGGCCCGGGACCCCATCCTGGTCTCCGCCATGATCATCGTCCTCGTCACTCGACGCGTCATGGGACCCGTCGGCACCCGACGTTGCGTCCTCCTTCTTCGCCTTGGTGGTGGCGTTGAGCTTCTTCTTGAACTCGACGAGTCCACCGGGATCCTTCTCCCTCGCGTCTGTGGGCAGAGTCGTTGTTATCGACAAGGTCAGGGGCTTGGGCAACATGGAAACGGGAACAAACTCACAGTTCAAAGCTGCCGCGGTGATGTCCTGCGGCTTGAGTCCGCCCTTGGTGATTCGAGGGTCGGCGAAGATGGCAACGCCAACAGGTCCCAGCTTCTTGCTCTTGGTGATCCGTGCCTGATAGGCGTCGATGATCCGGGGGTAAATGTCGACCCTGAAGCTGAGCTTTGGGTACGCCTCGATCCAGCCGGCGATGATGTCGAGCGTGCGAGTGGTCCGAACAAGCGTCCCGAGGTAGAGCACGGCAAAGGCGGGGTGGGCAAGGCGGAGGTACTTGGCGGCCTTGACCATGTAGCGGGAGGTGCGGTTGCTCGTGAACTCGTTGCTGAAGATGTGCGGGAGAGCGTCGACGAGGTACTGGTCGCCGATGGTGTCCCTCGCCCAGCTGCCGAAGGCGCCGGGATCGGATGGCTTGAGCCGCAGGTATGCGTCGATGACTCGGTGCCAGGCCAGTCTCAACCCATCCCTGGACTTCCCGTGCTCAGCCACGGCCTTCTTGAACGCCGTCACCACCTGGTCAATGTCGTGTTGCAGTGGTACCTCGCCTGACAGCTGCCGGGACGCCTGCATCGATGCGTGGCGCGTGGACCGGCGAAAGGGAGGCGGTTCCGAGACAGGGCTCGAGACCAACAATTCGGCTTCGGAAGAACCGGCAGGCATGGTTGCGGCCCGATTGCAGGTGACAGAGAGTGGCGGGTGTGGTGGGAATCAGTGTTTTTTTGGCGATGTTTATTGTGGGTCCGACGCGTCGCGCTCAGTTGTCGCGCTAGAGAGCATCGAGGCACCGAGCGACCCACGACAGCGCCGAAGTAGTGCTCAAAAATGCCAGATACGGAATCAGGGGATCAACGATAGCGGACAATGGAACATGCGCGGGTCTGGGAGGGCAGGCGCAAGGGTGAATGCGGCGCTGAGGTGGGTGGTGAAGATGCGAAGTTGGATTGATGTTGGAAGAAAATTCCTGAGGTCAGGGCGGTGAGTCGCGGCAGGCGGGGCTTAGGGCCAGGTACGGAGTACCTGGGATTTGGAATCGAGACTCAAAGTCAGGTGACGGAACCAGATGTGCCCGCGGATTGCCTACAGAGTGGAGGGGCCACGGATTACTGACGGCCACACCACGTGGTACTGCGAAGTGTTTCCTCCGAAGTGCTCCAGCACAAGGTCTTAGCACGTGACAGTGAGAAGTCTTTCCCCAAGTCCAGAATTTGCGGGATCAAATGCTGCAAGTTTGCCCAAGTCACGTGTGTCCACCTGCAGGCAAATTGACCAGATCCCAATCAAATTGATCTGATTTTGGTCCTCCGTGTGTGGTTTGACGTTCCAGGCATCAATTAATTGCCCTTGACTCCAAGACCCCAACAGGGCAGGCACAACCCAAGACACAGACGGAAACTAGCTCCCGGGTCTCAATTCTCCCCATCATCCCAAGGTGCCGCAACCATCAAAAATTAAACCATTCCCAAACACTCCGTGAGCAAAAGTTTGACACGACATCGCAATGGAGAGCCAGAGGGAACGTACGGAATTCACGTGCCTCCATTCCTCCGACCGTGTAGGTCCAACGCATGTGCCCATCCATTCCATCCGCCGCACCTGGTACCCCCCCAGTCAACCCCCAATAAAAAGCACGTCCCTACCTTCTCAGGATTGCGGTGTATCCAAAAACACCAATTACTTTGACGTCAGCCCTCTGTGTGGCGTGATATCCCTCCCCAAGTCCCAAATTGGTCCACAGTGCGAACCGTTTCTGGTCGCGAAGTGACCAACAGGGGGTATTTTGGGCATTTTCGCCGCCCCCTTGGTTCCGACGGACCATTTGAGATGATATATGTGATGTTCAGGCTGACTAGACCGAGGAGACTCAAATTGGCCCTGGTTGAATGGCGTTGCGGTTGGGAATGCCATATCAAAGTCCATTTTGCACCATATGGGGGCCAAAAACGGCAATGTTAGGCAGCAACGCAGTGCCCTCAGTCCAAATTGAAAATTTAGTATGAAATACATGATTTTGGATGTTGGGGACACAAATTGGACCTGGTTAGATTGGTTTGTGGTTGTCGATACAGCATTTAGGTTAATTTTACACTAAATGGGAACCAAAACGTCAATGGTAGGGAGGAACGCAGCGCCCTTGGTCCAAGTTGGAGATTTAGTATAGAATATGTGATTTGGATGCGGGGGACACAAATTGGAGCTGGTTAGATTGGTTTGTGGCTGTCGATACAGCATCAGGGTCAATCTTGCACCAAATAAGGACCAAAAACGCAGCCACGGCATCCTTAAAGCTCCAATTAAATATCTGGGACGGTCAATTGAGGTTTCAAGCAGGCTAGGAGCAGGGGACACAAATTGAACCAGGTTGAACTTCTCCGCGGCTGTCAATACAGCATCAAGCTCAATTTTGCACCAAAAAATGGCCAAAAAATGACCAAAACGTAACAGCAGTATCCCTATAGCTCGAATTAATTATCTTTGGTGATGGAGTGTGGTTTCAAGTGTACTTGGAGCAGGGGACACAAATTGAACCAGGTTAAACTGCTTTGCGGCTGTCAATACATCATCAAAGTCAATTTGGGACCAAATCGGAGCCAAAAAAACGCAGCAACGCTGCCCCCATGGTCCTACTTAAACATTTACGACGGCATACATGCATGTCAAGGCTACCAAAGCCAGGGGACTCAAATTGGACCTGGTTGAATTAGACTGCGGTTGCCAATCCAGCATCCACGGCGGTACGTTTGCACAAAACAGAGAGCAAAAACCTAGCAACGCCGTCCCACAGCGTTCTAATTAAACATTTCCAACGGTATACATATATATCAAGGCTAATAAAACCAGGGACTACAAATTGAACCTGGTTGGGTTAGACCTCGGTTGCCAATACAGCATCCACGCTCCTATTGCGTCAAACCGAAGCTAAAAACACAGCAACGTCGTCCCCATAGTTCCAATTAAATATTTGCAATTGTGCATAGAGTTTTCAACCCTAGTAGAAGTATGGGAACACAAATTGAACGTGGTTGGGTTAGACTGTGGTCTAATATAGCATCCACGTTGCTTTCGTACCAGATAAAGACCAGAACCACAAGACGAGAAACAAAGCAACGCAATCCATTTAGTCCCAATTAAATATTTGAGACTGTGCATAGCTTTTCCAAGCCAAGTAAAACCATGGGACATAAATTGAACTAGGTTGGATGGCGTTGTGGCTGTCTATAGCATCAAGCTTACTTTTGCTCCAAATGAGAACCAAAAACGGATATGTTAGGTAGTACCGTTGCCTTATAATTTCAATTAAACGTTTACGATAGATTATGCTTTTACAAGGCTGTTAGATGCATGGGACACAAATTGGCCTTCTTTAGCGTGCTCTGTGGGTGCCAATATAGCGTCAAAGATGCTGCACCAAATAAATGAGAACCAAAAACGGCCGTCCCCTTGGTTCCGATTAAACATTTACGGTAGCACATATAGTCCCCAAGACTGCTAAATAGAGGTGACATAAATTAGCTTGGTTCGACTGCTCTGTGGTTGCCAAAACAGCGCCAAGCTTGATTTTGCACCAAAGGAGACCCTAGGGCAGCTACGCCGCCCCCTTGGTTACGATTAAATTTTATGGCAGCATATGTAGTCTCCAGGTTTAATGAATGGAATGGACATAAATTGGCTCTTGTTTAATTTCTCTGTGGTTTTCAATACCGCGTCAAGTCGACCTTGAACCACATGAGAACCTAAAACAACTACGTGAAGTGGCAACGCTGCTTCCTTGAACTAGCGGCAAGTATGCTAGATAATTGGGTAACCCTGGGTCATTCTTAAGCCACAATACATAGACCTTGCAGCCTGGAATGATATTTGTCGCTAGAGAGGATTGGGTATGCTGCATGTTTAGCCCAAAAAGGGAAGATTGGACTAGGCCTTGACAATCTTGCGGGAAATCCAAGTGAATGAAAGGCACCCACAATCTATGACTGGTCATATTGAGATGTAATCAGGTTTTGCCTTGTGTGGATTAACCCTTCGTGTGGTATGGGTGGGTAGCCACCAAATGGTGCACAAACATAGGTATCTTAGACTACAACTTGACAACCTCGAGGTGAATCCAACCAACAAGGGAGTGCCTATGGCTGCTTGGAAGAAGTTTATTGATGCTGTGTCTTTCTATATTTCTCTTCTGCGCAAACTAGTTTATCTCTGGGTGCTGTGGAATGTTGGGTTTGAGTTTGTCAAATTGGCACATCAGAAGCATCAAGAACAAGTTCTCCCCCTGCCACAGTTGGTAGTCAGTGTGTCTCGCAGTGTGATCCTAGTTTCTAGTAATATCTATCTATGTACATACACGGTAATATTCTTCCATTTTATCCTTCATCATTATTTCTGCCATCAATCAACCCAGCAGCCGATTCTCTACGACTCATACCGTCTTCGTACCGATCCAGATCGGATCAGAGGTACAAGTGAGTATGTTGTCTTTGCGATCGCACGTTGCTTGGACGTATCCAATGCCAACCGTCTCAAATGAAGATCTTGTCCGTTGTCAGCAGAGTGTACCCTAGCAAGCGCGTCTCCAAGACCAATGCCACTTACAAGTCGCTGCAGTTCCACTGTTGGGTGATTGTTAACATATCCCGTTCCGGGTCAAACCGGAAGTTTGCCGCGGTCGTTGGATTTGCCTCGCCTGCCGTCGACTCGCACACACCGTCCAATGTTGCATTTTGAAGTTGCTTCCCCGAAATTGTGCAGTTGAACACGTCCGTGTTGGCCATGTTTCTCAGCGTAAAGGATAGGTCTGTATCTTCTTCTGGCGGCGGCACGGTAGACTCAGGAGCCATTTCGTATCTTCGGTGCCATTCCTCGAGCTCCCATGATTGGTACCTGTTCGAATTGTCCGCGCAGGCCGAACTAACGTCCAGGCGAGCCGGCTCTTGTTCTGTGACAATGGCGAGACGAGCGTCATTGCTCACTGACACACAGTGGCTGGTGCCTTCTACAGCTTCTGTGCAGTTCATATCTAGGGTTGTGAAACCTGTCGCAAGGGCGTCGGTTCTATGGCAGCGGTGTCAGTGTCCGGATTTCCAATTCCATGCGAATCACGGCGTGGGTAAGAGGGACGACCAGGCACCTACCCTTCTCTATCCGAGCAGTCAAACGAATGTGTCAGGTACATAGTCTTATTCTTCCAGTCTGTGGCAAAAGATACCGTGTTGTCGTTTCTCGGCCCATTACCGGTCCAGATGCAATCGCTCCATATAATGTTGCTGCCGCCCTCATACCAGCCTGCCCACTCTTCCGGCCATTCTGCGACACACTCGAAAAGAGTCGAGCTGTTCGGGCTTATGCTAACTGCCACCGTGGCATCCCCGCTGCCCGAGCTTGGATCAGCACCGTCGTACCTCACAGCATTGATACGCCACTGGTAGGTCGAGGGTTTGGGCTCGTTTCCACACGCTCTGGCGGCGTTCGCTCGTGAGAGGAGGAACGAGAGCACTGTGACAAATGTTAATACCAGACTGTTGCCCATCTTGGCCTTTATTAGACATGCTTCAAGCCCAACATGGGATACTGGGAGGGCCCTGCTTAAATTTAAAATGGACGGGCCTTAATAGGCTGGTGATAAATGCTGTACATATATTTTCTCTGACGGGACGCGGCTAGGGAGATTTTAATATCCTTGTGTCCGGTACTGCAATCTGGAAGAGTAATTAGTTTAAATGCGTCGGTAATCGGCTCTAATGTGGGACAATAAGACTGCGTGGCTATGGGGCCAGCTGTTCCGGGTAAAAGCGCACCGGCCTTGACATGTCATGCGCCAGTATATTAACAACTGCAGCGAGCGTGCCTGGATATCGTGCCGAGGAATGAATCTATAGATGCCGCGAGTGTATTAATTAAACACTATGTCAGTTCGGCAATTGGTGGGAGCGACATGAAACTAGTGCCATTGAAACTCTCTTGAAATACACACGATCACAACGGTCGGCTAGCTTGTATGCACCGCGAGAGTATAATAATTTACCGTAGCACATAGCTTTGACAGAATTAGAGATGGAAAGCGTCAGAGCAATGGACTGGGCTATGTTTTGCCCAAGTGTGGCGCACAAGCCTGTTTTAAGGGGCTTGTGCGCCACACCAAGTTTCGACCATGAAGCTCACATATATCATCCACATCCACTCCACTCAAACCGAGATTCCTTCAACCAGCATCCAACGTTTATCCTACTGACACTGCGCGCTCTCCATAAGATTTATGAAAGCATTGGTTGGCCTGGAATCTGATCCAACCCTGCGAGGTGGTTAGCCCAAGATCACCCATCGGTCTGCGTAATAATTGGGAACTTGAAATAAGCCTGACTCACATCCGTCGACGTCCTCCTTGGCCGTCTGCGGCTTGACGCATTTCATAGCTTCCTCGGAGGTCTGCGTCTTGAGTTCATTGCAGACGGCATTAGCGCAGTTAGCATCCAGGGCACGCTGGAGAGAATCGCCCTTCCAGCCAAAGACGTAGTCGCCATGTTGCGAGTATCCGCTCCTGCGAATTGGGTTGTTAATTAGTCGTGGTCAACTCCGCGAGCGTGTTCAGGGGAGAGCAGCCTCACGTGTCGCCAGTGCTCCATACAAACGGCTGCGAGCCATCCTCGGGCCACAGATCCTTGTCATTGAATAGTTGGGTCTGTGGTATGCACGAGTCAGTAGATGAAGCTAGGGCTCGCGACCTATGACTAACGAGAAAGTAGATAGGAAACAAGGTGAAAACCTGGTAATACGCACATTCCACATGACTTCGTACATAATCTGAGGTAACTTGACCGGATGAGTCGACGGACAGTCACCAGACGACTCAAAACTTCCCTTGCTGGGATACGCGACGTGGCTCTTGTGATCCGGGCTATCCGTGTTGCTGCCATCCCAGCAAGTCGGGAAGGTGATGGTGGTGCGAATGCCGCCTTCACACATCCCCTTGGGGAGACTGCTGCTGTCCGACCCCGTGCAGGGCGCGCCGCCGCCGCCGTTCGCCGACAGGCAGCGGTGGCACAGCTGGCGCTGCTGGCCCTCGGCCGAGCGCAGGGCCGCGTCGCCGACGAGCATGCGGAACCCGGGCTTGAAGGCCGTCACCTTGGTCTTGCCGTCGTACGGCTGGATGTAGTAGACGGTGATGCCGCCGACGGCGCGGATGCCGTCGTTGGCAAACTGGGGCACGCGGCGGAAGCTGCCGTTGCGGGCCCGGAAGTACAGCACCGCCGTCCAGTAATTGGAGAAGTCCTCGGCGAAGGTGCAGCTGGTGCATGTCGAGTCGTTGACAAGATCGTGGCTCGCCGGGTCCATGCTGGTGTTGAACGAGTTGCCGCCCACGATCTGGTGGACGTGCGGCGACGGTAGAGAGCCGGGGTTGACCAGCGGATCTAGGCGCTCGATGACGAGCTGCGAGCAGCCGAAACGCATCATGGCCTGGACGGCAGTCGCATGCGCGAGAAGCGCCGCGGCTAGAGCCTTCCACTGCATCTTGGGCTGCTACTACTGCTTTGCTTCTTTCGGGAAACGCAGAGGTTCTTGCGGTGGATGGAAAGTTCCGAGACGGAAATTAGCTAGCTAGGGCATTGCTTCTCCACGCATTCCTGGGTCGCAATTTTTAAATAGGTGAGCCTGCCATTCCCTTGTAAGAACCTAATAAACCCCAGTGCAGGCAGTTCGTCGGCATCTTTGCCGTTTATTGTAAATTGATTTGGGTGGGGCTAATCTGGATGTTTACTGGGACGATGGCTGGGTATTACCAAGGCCAGTGGATCGACCGGGTAAGTTAGTAGAAGGACCAGTCCGACCCAAGTCAACTATTTACCCCTCCCGTCGTACTCCTGCATATGTTTCCGCTCTTCCTTGGTGTTGCCTATATGCTAGAAACAGCACTGCTTTACGGCACATGTAGTCCCAATGCGGGATTTACACATGTTGAATCAAGTTTACAAAATTTCGTTGTAGCACCAATACCCAGCAAACTTAAACATGATACAGACTACTGATACAATATCTAATTCGAGGAAGCCTAGGAGCAAACCCGACTGTCTAATTGAACATCAAAGGCAAGGGGCGGTGACCATATGCCAACCCAATCCCACCCATCTCTATCAGCAAGGTCACAGGCCAGTCGAAGTTGAAAGAACAATAACCATCTTCCGTTGGTAGATAGTGTTTGGTACCAACTAGCATCTTAAACATCCCCTACCTTGTTTACCACCCGTAACTGCCATTTTATCTGCACTGACTCCAAACTAGACATACCCCTTGGCATGTCAACAACGGACAATGAAACAGGGCAAAACAACAAAACAAGCACGAGAAGGAAGATCAGGCTAGCTGGTCAGCCGTCCGGGTAGATCAGCAGCCCTGTAAGGAAGTAAGGATGGTCTCCGACTGCATACTCGAAAAGTACGTGGTTGAATGCCGTGTTTAAGTTACTTTGAAAGCCGAAACAGCTTTCATACTCCCTCCCCCCCACAAGACCTCGCACGTGCCGCAGCTTTTCACCCCTTTTCAACACATCGGATTCTTGTGCATAATTTCACCTCAACCTCCGCCCAATAATCGCAGAGTCTATAGGGGCAATCCGTAAACCTGGTAGACTAAGATATAAGGTTCACTTGTGCTTGGCTAGTATTAGCTCTGACATAATTAGCCTCGGGGTATGGTCCGTGACAGCGAAGGTCGTGCTCCTGTACCCCCTTGGTGACGGCGTCGGTGAGGTCAGGTCATCTCAGGGTATAATCTAGTGATGGATTTAACCACGGCATCGTTCACAACCTTAGGCTCCACCACCATCCACTAACTCCTTCCCACCTTCTCGAATATGTCTTGTGGTGTTATGTCTGTAGCATTGAGAAAGGGTCCTTGGCTGCTCGTGGTGAGACAATGAGAATTGCCTGACTCACGCTTGCCTTAGATGCTATAGAGATGGGGCATTTGCGTGGAATGTGTTCGATAATAAAAGCTACTCCAGTCCTTAAGCTTAAGTTGGCCTCCTAGGATCTATATATTTGGTTCCAGCAGTGATCACTTGATCTCCCAGTATTTAGGCACATCCGCGAAACCAATCTACCCAAAAGTAGTTTCGATGACCAGCTAGACATCATATCCCTCGACGATGGTTCGGAGATTTTGCCAAGTGGTAGGCAGTAGGCTAGGTCGTTGCGATTATAGATTCACCTGGACGAGTTTCTTAGCTCTGTTGCCATTCCTCTAGCGCTCTAGGTTACTGTGCGATGTGTGTGGCGGCTTGATCTCCGTGTTGTCTCGCACCTTGCCTTCAAGCTATTGCGGATTTGCGGCCACGGAAAGGAATCCCATCCCAGTGCCAGGTTCCTGTCTGTACTGTTGGTGGCGACATGTCCAGTTGCTGCTCATAATCAGATTGAGTAGGATAATGATACTTGAAGCTGTGGGATATGAGGTATACTAGACTATGTGAACCATTCCAGTATGGAATAATTAGCCACCATCTTCTCATCTGGCGACAGCAGCAAGCCGCACTATACGACTTATCGAATTGGGTGCTTTCAAGCTCTCTAAGTTCAAGAATGATTCTCTCGAGTCTTAAATGTCCGGGTACTGTCACTGCTTGCCGGCCTAGCGACGACTGAGAGTTTATAGAGACCGTCCGAAGGCGCGGCAGCGGCGGCACTCGAACTGGGAACGGCTGGGGACCCATCGAGGTGCAAGTCAGGAGATACTTGCCCGCTTGCTCGAGACCTTTGGTTGAGGTGGTTTAGACTTGATCGAAAGCGGTGCATAACTTCAATGACAAGATATTTGTCGTAACCATCTACGTCGCCCGAGGCTGGGGGCACCGGAGGCTTTGTCGAGGTTGTCAAACCCGAATTATAGAAAAATTGGGAATCTAGAAAAAAGTTATAGAAAAGTCAGGAATTTAGAAAAATATTCTAGAAAAGTTAGAACTTTAGAAAAAAGGACGAAGTCTAGAAACATACCTAGAGAATGTCTACGACTCTCTAACCAGAATGAATCCCGCAATATTAGTAGGGATTCACGGCACATAAGAGTTGTAACTAACCATTTGTTCTGGTGGCTCTAGGTGAATGCGTTGGATAAAACCAACAAGCCTAATGTGCCTCCCCTCAATTTTGAACAGAAGGTCTCTTTTGTCAACACTACCACTGGAGGGGATATGATCTTGATAAGCAACTTACGCAGAAGATTGCCTTCATGGTTTTATATTAGGCTAAGGAGCGGGGATGGGATGATGTGGCTTTAGACAGGGACGGGTGCCTGGGCCGGGACGTGGTGGGTGGAAGGAAGCACAGGCACGAGCAGCTGGGCCACACAAGGGCGTTGCATGTAGAGTTATGCAGCCGCATGGGGCTAACTCTCATGGGATTTCTCAATCAGATTTGTAGAGCCTGTCTTCATTATCTTCTTCGACCCAGAGTTCATGGCCGGGGCTTTTTCCTTCCCCCTTCGCCTCAAGCACCATTACGATAGGCTTACATGCGGTGTTCTTGCCGAATCAAGCGACAAGTCCACCACTATAATCGTCCCAAATCTTATGGTCCAGTAATCCAGAGGAGGAGAGACTGGCACTCTAGATTTATTAAAGATTTCTAAGAGCTGCTTTAGCTTCACTAGAAGCCTTGTATGATCTACAATATGGTTTTAATTCCGACTAAATCGCACAACTGAGAGAACGATAAACTAGTGTCGAACTGAAATTTCTCTAGTGTCTATAAGGTTGACATAGGGCTTGAACAGCACCGCGGGGATGCAGCATAGTACGAGCTGCATGTGCGACAGCAGGGTGCAGACCAACTCGCCATGACCAATTTGCTCATAACCACTTGATCATGACCAACTCGATGACTAATTTGCTCATGAACAACTCGCTCATGAACAACTCGCTCATGAGCAAGATGACGATGACAAACAAGGGCAACTAGGCGATTGCACCCATAAGCTACACTAGGAATGCGTCTATGCTTATGGCTGCGACTAGGTACTATATCTCAAAGAAGAACGCAACTAGGATAATAGCCGACAAGACAAGGTTGATGAAACCCTTGTATCACAGCTGTACCCACGATGTATAGCACGATGATGCACAGGGACCTGCCAGGCGTGAAGGACCTTGTCATGAACTATCTTGCGAAGATAATCTCTAGGGTGGACAAGAGCGACGTCTAGGTTTTAGACGAGGAAGCGTGGGCGACGATGAGGGAGAACTAGTCTGGAAAGGACGTTATTTCGCCTCGGTTTCCTTTGTCAGTACCTGATATTCTAGGCATTTACAGGCGTGTAAACCGGGCATAATTGCGAGGCATATCTCCTTAACGTTATTTTGCGACCCATGAACCAATTGAGTGTGAGTTCAACAGCTCATGGGTCCCACAGCGACCTTTACGAAATAATGTGGACCGTCCTGGACAGTCTCTACGGCGGTAACCTAGGCTGCGACTCGCCGCAGAACGTCTTCGACATTGCCTCTCACCTGTGGCGGGATACAGAGAATCCACGACAGGAAGCCAGCAGATTACATGATTACGGTACGCAGGTACTAGGTAGCGCACCCTATCTTCAATCGCAACTATCTCATTCGCATTAGATCCAAATGCGTCAACGGCGGTTTGCATAGTCCTATCAAATGAAGTCCCTAAAGGCGTCAGTATATCGAACTGCGCCAGGATGGTGCCGCCATCGCGAGGGCCTTCGCTGCATTACGCTATCCTACGATCGCCATCACAGATATCAATCAGGGCACACTCAGCCAGACACGGGATGCCCTGCTGAAACTAAACCCCGACGCCGAGGCGTTGAGCGTCTGTTGTAGGAGCTCGAGGGCCCTGGCCAAGCCCCGCGGGAGTTCGCGAGAGACCTTTGCCTCGGTGACTGCGACAGTCAGGTCTGACTGCGGCAACACCTCCGACGCGTGGGACTGCTTCCACATCAACAGCGCCGACAAGGACCGTGAGGGCAACCACCTGATCTCGGCGCGGGACGCCTGCGCAAGACCATCGACGCGTACCTCCCGCTCGGCCGCGACGACCCGGACCGCTACCCGCAGTCGTCGACGGTGGACTTCCACAACAATGCCGGCGGCCACAAGCGCCGCATCGCCCTCTACCTGGTCGAGAACAGCAAACCTCGTTTGTTTCCCATGTACCCCCCCCCCCCCCCCCCTATGTGAGCGAATATATGTGCGTGCTGCAGCCATGACTGGAAAGCCAGGAAGGACGGGCCGGGGCCGGGGCAGCTGGCGGCCAGGAAAAGGAGATTGATTTCAGCATCCATGAAATGGAAGATGGCACCCAAGTGAGCAGCTGGACAAATCGTTCAAGATCCCCTTCGCCGTCGGCTAGATAGACGCGGCTGAGGTTAGACGGGCCATTCCGATGCCGTGCAGAGAATGCAACCAATCGGCAGAGCCGCCAGCCATAATCGCGTCCACGGAACGACGACCAAGCTCACCGACGTCGACACCCTCAAGGCCCAGGCATAATGCCTCGAATACACTCCGTACCTCGTCTATTATGGCCTGTACTCAGTAGAACGGATCTAGACGCAGTGGTCCCCTATCAATCCCCGAGAGAGGCTGAGGAAGAAAGAGGGGGGAGGGGGGGGAAAAGGGAAATAAAAAAAAATGTGACCCGTCGTCATGTATCTTGTTGGGTATAGCGGATTATGAGCTTGCGAAGAGTGTCGCGTAGTAGAGGCTTTTTTTACCCTTAGAAACGTAATAAAAGTAGATTACATATATATTTTATAGTTCTAACTTTCAAAACATTAACAATTGTAGAAACCCTGCTTTTTCAATTAGCTTTGCTTTCTGGAGAGGGAGATGGGCTCGGTGTGTCGCGCGAAGGGAGTCAAGTTTGCAGACAGAGGCTACCCCAAGACGTACAGGCCGCAGCTTACACTTAGACGACATACATCCGCAGAGCCTCGCAGACCGCATTCTCCACCTGCTTAAGAAGCTCCTCTACACCTGCTTAAGAAGCTCCTCTACACCTGCTTAAGAAGCTCCTCTACACCTGCTTAAGAAGCTCCTCTACCATGGCTGAGTTCGTACAAGCGCAGATGTTCGGCACAACCTTCGAGATCACCTCAAGCTACTCCAACCTGCTGCCCATTTGCATGTTCCATCCCACTCCAACTAGTGGGATCCATTACTAGAGAAGCACCGAGATTCTTTGAGAACACCACTCTGCCACCACGCACACGCGTGGCCCGCCACCACGACGGCAAAGTACACGCGCACCAGCGTCAGCGCCGTGATCGTCACCATGCTAACAGCCATCTCGCGCGCCTGCAAGTCTTCCTCGCGCTCAAAGTGCTTTTCATCTTTCGATCACTCTACTTGTGCGCTATCGGTCTCTGGCTAATATTTAGCTTTAGCAGACGTATACCTCCCGCTTAGAGCAGCATTCCCAAGCTACTCGACTCTCGAAGGGGCTTTACACAGGCTTAGTGTCTGACCTGACAGGGCTCTCACCCTCTATGGCGGCCCGTTCCAGGGAGCTCGGAAGGCACCGCGCCAAAAAGGCATTTTTACAATGTTCTAGGTTGCGAACACTGAGATGAACCAGTTTTGCAGCAGGTATACCTGGTCCTGTTGGTCGAAAACGCCACCAATACCACCTGTAGAGCAAGTTGTATGAAAGGACAAGCACAAACGTAGACTACTCTATGACAGTGTCGCTCCACAGCTCTGTGAACACGAACGCACGCATGCTTCTATTATAGTTGCTCTGTGAGCAGCTGAGGCAGAACATGGGCGAGTGGCTGTATAGGCTTGACATCTCGGCAGCCATCAGGTCAGTCAACAAGCTCACCTCGTCCCTACCGAGCCTCCTTGCCAATATGGTCTTGTTGATCCTTACGTTTGTGTATGGCGTATCCATGCCTTCAATGTTATAGTCGCGGGTGTAGGGCCTAGGTCTGCGCGGGGCGAGGTGGACAAGCTGGGGCTCCTTGACGCTCCCGCGACAACCGGCTTTGTCGGAGTGGTGTGCGCAATAGTCGGTGGTGTATAGGCACACGTATGGTCAGGGGACGTAGCAGACCACAAGGCTATCTCCTGCATGCTCACGACAGACTTGACTCGGTTCGTATTCGGGGTCAAGTCCACCTTCTAGCTGCTGATGAACAACCCGCCCTGGCGACTGCTGTTTGGTCCCTGCACTTGGTCTACACTCCCAGGGTTGGGGACGTGCTCTGGTCGATGCACACGTACTTGTTGCAGGATGGGTCCTCGCATGAGTCCTCGCAGGAGTCGACCAACGAGTGCATTGCGTCTCCCTGGCTCCGTCCTCCCTCTAGGTCCTGACAATATCCCTGTTCACATTCACGCACGGGTAATTATATGTTCATCGAGTGCCCATGCTACAAAGTCCTCGGTTCTAGGCACCACTCGGTCGCCAGTGTAACCATCAACCACAGTCTGATCGACCTGTTGCCGTCCTTTTTCTTCAGTACGTGAGCAGATAGTTGATCCTCCTTCTTGAGGGTATAGACAACCACGCTAACTATTAGGATCAAGTGCCTCTTCAAGACCATAGGCCTCCCACACTCCTCCTGTTCAGACATGTCCCTGTACACGCTTAGGCACTTCCGCAGTAGGGTCTCTAAACTAGATGCAGGTTGGGCGTGCTGATATCGTCTGCGCATCCTATACACCATGACATCACAAAGTGCGTGTCATGGTAGTAGAACAGGGACGTGTACCACTGGCACAGCTCCATGCAGACTGTCCGTAGCCTCTTTACATACCACCGGCACACAAGAATGGCAAGACCGAAACCAAACCCGAGGAAAGCTCCTTAAGGGCAAGGTCACCGGTGCGCACTGCCGCCTCGACACAGGCATCCGCGGCTAGTATTTTAAGCCAAGCTGCTCTTCCATTTTCTATGCACTCAACCATGTATAGATCAAACCTCCCACTGAGAGGCCCGTTGGAGATTCGCACCTCCTTCGGGTGTAAGAGACACAGGGATAGTCTAGATAGGCGTGTCCCTCGAAAGTAAAGGCCGTGACGCTGGATCTGTCAGCTGTGATGAAGGGACCCGTGGCGACCCGCCCTACTAGATGCTTCGGCTGTGAGGGCGGCCACAAAAGCTCCTAAGGGGTGATAGTGTAGCTAGTGTTTAAGTAGGATCTAGTCCAAGTGAGGCATGAGAACTGACAGCATAAGAAAAGAGGGGGAGGAGTGGCAGGCTCTCCTTCTCGACGCCATTGGTATGCCCATAGTGGCGATCTATGTCGCTAAAGGGGTGTTCTTGATGTTATTCTGGCAGCTAGGTGCTAAAGGGGCAGATAGTTCCTAATTAACACAGGTATGTAGTAGCATAGTGGAGGTTATGCTCTAGGGGTATTGTTGGGGATGAGTGGGTAGGTTGGGGCATGGGTAGTCCCTCATCTATGTTGTTAAATCTAGGAATCGTACAAAGTCTAACTGATATCATTACAGGTGCAGGCGGAAACTTCCTTGTTGGAACGTAAACAGTTATAGCCTTACTCCCATTCTTGTCGGGATGTGTGGAAAGCTCGATCTGGTGCTATTTTTGGAGATGTAGTGATAGGCACTGGCCGAACAACACGAGGAGTTTGTACCTGTGAGGCTGGAAATTGTGACGTCAAACTACAAGCGATGCCCTGAGGAGGAGGCGGTTGCGGGGGTCACTGACGAAGCCGAAGGCTGGGAGCCTAGACACTAGTCGAATCCTTCCAGGAGACTCTTTTCCTCTCCAATGAAAGCCAGTTCTAACCCTGTGCATCTTCATATAGGCGATCCGAGTCAAAGTCAGCCCTGAGGGGAGAGCTTGGACTGTTCTCAAACACGCTATTCAACTGGGGCGTTTGCTCAGTTTGGCAAGACAGCTGCTCGTCGTCTCCCTATCGTTATATTAGTCTACAAGAGGTGCATCTAGTCATCATCTGGTTATCATCCGGTCATGCTTTGTAGTGGGAGTTGCTAGAATGCACAGTACCTAATTAATGAACATCAATGGTTTGGGGGGGAAAGAGAAAGGGGGGAGGGACGCCCGCGGCTAGGTTGGCGCCTTACAGAGCGACAGCTTCGGCAGAACGACTAGATTCTATACCCATGGATCCCGCAACCCAGGGGAGATAACAGCAGGCCAAAGAAGCCCAGGCAAGTGGCCTGGCAGGCCCATTAAGCACCCATGAATATTGCCTGGCCTGGGTTGTTGATTTGGAAGTGAATCTTATATGAAACGATGCATGTCACGGAGGGAGACAGGGGGAGATGTCGCGCGGTGACGGGCTGGTGCTGTAAGTATCGGGGTTGGATTTGTCGATAGCTTTCGATCCATCATCCCAGCCCTCTTGAACATCTCAAAGAGAGCGTCTGGGATGGTGCAACGACGATCGAGTCTCCCGTGTGGATGCCCAAGGGGTCAAAGTTCTCCATCCTCACAAAGTCCGCCAGCTGCAACGTCACAGAGAGACTGGAACAAAAAGGGAATTATTCTTGGCAAGGTCGTTGACGAGAGCCAAGGGCCCTGCACCCATCAGGGCGCTAGGGAAGCCAAGTCAGATAAGGTTAGCATTTCCAGAGCAGGGTGATGACTCTCGGCCGACTTCCCCATAGACACCGCCTCATTCGGGGTGGGGTTAAGACAGGCGAACAAACGCCTTCCTCGTTGCCCCAGCCGTGTCCCTTCTGGTTGCGCTCGGTCGGCTCAGGTTCAAGACCTCGCGTTCAAACGCCAAAGGCGATCGCAATGACGACAGCCATATGCTTAGATGCCCGTATCCGTCAGTATAACCAGGCGCAGGCTGCTAGGCGTCCCATAGTAGTGCAGCCTGTACTTCCTGGGAAGCCCATCGACGTTTCTCGTTGCCTACCCGATGATGGCCACTCCTCTCGTGTCCAGTTAATGCACCCTACGTAGCTTCACCAACGTCCTACGATTACCTAGGGTATGCACCTGTGCCCCTGCGAGAGGCCTTCAGCTTTGCCCCCTATTCCCGCGACTCGATCAGCTTCGCCTTGAAGAAGTCAAGCGCATGCTCCCCTCTCCAAAGTCCTAGATAGGTAGCCTGCTTGTCGTCGTGGAACTTGGCAAGGTACGTTTTGATGTCCTCAGCGCTGATGGCTTGCCTGCTTTTGACACTAGGGTGGTGTTCTCTCACAGGTCACAGGCAAGCTGGAGATGTCCCTCTTGAATGTTTCAATAATGCACGGCAAGCCAGCAGTTGATGGAAGCAGCTGCTTGCCTAGGACAGGAAGGAGACTTCGAGGTACTCATTTTAGTCAGGCATTGTCTTGTCTAAGTCTTACCTAAAGTACATCACAAGACACCTGCCCCGCATCTGTTAGAAGCACACTCTTGAGGCCAAAAATGACGTGTTATTTGGCCAATCGGGGCAATAACTCTCCGTAAATGCGGGCACTTACTCATACACCCAAGACACCGCAGCTTCGGACCATTCCAATCAAACCCTATTTATAGTGTGACTTGCCTATCCAACTTCAAGTCTACTATAATCAACTGCTATCAAAGAAAGCCGTCACTCGAAAAGCATCAAACTTGCAAATACACGATTCGATTTCAGCCCCAAAGAACCTAATTACCCCAATAATCATCACCACCCCTCCAAACCCCCCAAAATGTTCACCGTCATCTTCGAAGTCCGCCCAGCCAAATGGGACGCGTACCTCGCCCTAGCCAAGTCCCTCCGCCCGGCACTAGAGCAAGTAGAAGGTTTCACCCGCAACATCCGCTACCGCAGCCTGCGCCGCGACGGCTGGCTGCTCTCGCTATCAGACTGGGCCGACGAGAAGGCGCTGGTGCGGTGGCGCACGCGCGAGGCGCACCACTGCGCCCAGCAGCGGGGCCGCGAGGAGGTACTGGAGGATTACCACCTGCGTGTCGGGGAGGTTGTCGTCGACGAGGGCGGGGGCTCGCGCGAGGACGTTACGCGGGTCGGCACAGGTCCGGCCGTCACGTTGCTGGAGATAGGAGGAGGGGTGATGACGGAGAGGGAGGAAGCCTATGCCGATGCCGACACCTTGGCCCGCGCCATGGGGTTGGATACGTCTGCCGTGGGGCTTGTGTCGTGGGATGTTTTCAACGTGGTCCTCTCGCCTCAGGACCTAATACTGGTGTGCACGTGGGAGACCGAGTCGGCTGCGATTGCTTTTTCGAACGGATTAAGAGGCAAGGGCAGGGAAGGGATCAAGTGCCGCGTGGTGCGCGTGGTGCGCGACTACGGCAAGTACGACAGGCGTGAGGCACCGCAGTTTTACCCTGACGTGCCTGGCCAGGAGACATTGCATATGTGAGGAGTTCCCTACCCCTGAGTTAGACTCTCTGGTACGAGGTTGAGTAGACTGGTAACTTGAAATTACGGGTGAACAGCGAGTTTCCTATGCAAATTCTCATTGGCGTTGGGGCGTGAATCTTTTATGGAACTGACGCAGAGGAGTCGTCATCATCACGATGCCTAGACCGGGGCCTAGTCTAAGACAATGGATGGGAGACCTAGTGTGCAGCCTCTTCCTTGCCAGGGACTGGGCCCTCCGAGGCTGGGCCTGGCCTCACCTTTCTCCTCGCTCAGGTTGCGCGTTGTCGATTAGCACAACCTCTCATGGAAGGAAGGGAACCGCCTTGACTCACAGATTAAGGCACAACCAGAACAATGACGACACCCTAGAATCGAAGACACCGCCGTGGCCAACGGCCTGTGGCCGAGGTTCTTGCCGACTTTGCCAAGTCTAGTCTTTTTTCTGATACTCCCTCCCCCCTCCCCAGTTCTTATCTACAGCCCCGATGCCGAGACAAGTTGAAGGTTGAAGAATATATCAGCTTGGTAATGCTCCTAGAATCTCCAGGCTGACAAATAGATGTCCTGCAATATGAACTTGGATGAATTTAGACATGCGGTTATCTACATCGGCAAGGTCAGAGTAAGGGTAACCTGGTGAATCTGATTAGCCGAAGACGTTTTTAGATAAGGTCGTTATGCCAATCCCAGAGGTTAAAGTCTCTTCTTGGGAAGGATAATCCAAAAGATAGGTGGGAATGGGATACCAGGACGCACTCCACAGGAGGCGGTTCCTGGTTAGCGATCAGCGGGGGTAGGAAGGTTTGTAATAGCACTGGAGGTAAAGTTACGACTTAGCAAGCGCACGCCGATGGGAACAAAAGCAATTCATAGCGCCGCGGGGATCCAGATCCGCCCTACCGTCTCACAGGGCTCCCTGTTCAACAACAATGTGCCCAGATACCGATTCCCGTAATTTCTCTACAAGCGCAGCAGTCCTTCTTCAAACAGTCAATTTTCTTAAGGTTAACCTTCTCAATGCTCGTAGCTCTCTAACATATATACTGCCCAACTTGGGGAGTCATCTTAGCCTGCAGTCATACCCCAATCATACCGCGGACACGCCACACGTGTCCAGACGGGAATCCGGAGCATTGATCTATGGACAGCGACTGCGGAATCTTGATCTTCGGTACGACGCCGGCTCGTACACAGACACCAAAATTGCTAAACATCCTTCGCGTGCCCCCAAACATAGGGAGCTCACGCATGTTCAGCCAATTTCCCGAAATATTCTCACTCGCGGGGGCGGTCTCGGGCGGGCTGAACTTGAGGGAAGCAGGGGGTGCTATTGTGCATGTGCCAATGTTGTGGCTGGCTTTAGAATTGTCAACTTATTGAACGCCACCATTTATTTTTTCAGCTTTCAGCTCAACTGCTCCATGCATGGCCACCCAGTCCGGTAATTCATTCTCGTCTTGAGCTTGCAACCTTCAAGCCACAATAATTACATGCACTCTTCACATAATTATGGACCAGTTCTTTTCGTACTGTCAGGCAGGTCAACACTCCTCTACAACCTAGGAATTTCAAGTTTCGTCCAGACATACCTTCGTCGCACCAATCAGGCTTTCTTCCCTTCAAACCTGTCAAAATGAACAAGATGACATTGAACATCAAGACGCGGTGGCTTCTCGACCTTTATCCGTCGCAAACCATGGGTCAGAACTGGGGCCCTGATGAACGGTTGACTCCGAACCAAGCCCCCTTCGATCACACCGACAACAATCTCCTACGGGTGTTAGAGGCCCCCGTGAACGAGGTACAGCACTTTGCAGATGGAACTTGCGCTTGGGTTGTTCACGTTGCTCTCTTCGTTTTCGGCGTCCAAGGCACGTTATGGACTCAAACCGGCAATTTCGTCGACGCTACCACGCCGCTGGCAGCTGTGGACTACATCTTCGAGCCCAATAACCAGAACAACAGGTCCGTGTTCCTGATGCCTACTTCTTCAACGCTATTCCCACTGTTCCCAACCCAGGCAATCCGGGAGGTGGCGTGAAGACCACCTTCAGCGGCAATGTCCAGGTGCGCGAGAACCAGTGCTGCAAGATCAGCGGATTCAACCGGTATGCTGGATACAAGGACGTCTAAGGACGTCTGCTCGCACCTCATCCCCAAGCGCCTGGGGCCGTCCGGCGTCGACAGCATCATCTATCGGTACACCGGTATGGTATCCAACTGGCAGAACCACCGACCCGACTGGGACTGCCGCGTGGCCGTCTTGCTATATGGCGCGCTGGATGGCTTTGTCGACTCGTTCACCATGGGGTTCTACAACCCGGATCCGACCGCTGTATGTGTCATGCTTTCATTGCCCTTTGCACAATCATGCCCTAAAGCTTACTTTAAAACCCAATCCCCAGACCCAATACCAGGTCCACCAGTTTGTCGTCCCCGTTAGAGCTGCGGATCAGAACCTGGTCGGCCTCCAGGGCTGGACTAAGCTTGCACTCCGCTGGGAGTCGATCGTCACCACTGGGTTCCAGGTCGGTGCGAATGAAGTAAACCAGCTGAATCTGCACGACTCGGCGGTGAACTTTCCAGCCAACGGCGGCAACAACATTCCCAATCCGCCCTTCGAGGTTCTTGGGTGGCACTACGTGCAGTGTGTCTTACGCAAATGGTCAACCACTGCCTACCGGGGTTATGCGAATATCAACTGGTAATTAGAGCGTTCATCATGTAATTAGCATTGCTAGGAGACTAGGCTTCACTACCTTGGGATTATAAGACAGACACAGTTAATCAACAATAGATCCCGTGGAAGGCAACTAGAAAAGCGAAAGATAAACATTCCTCCCTACACGCCACTAGCAGTCTCTACCAATTGAAGGTCATATAATCACTCTGCATTGTCTCTCGTACTGAGTTGGCTCAGAGTCCCTGCAGCCAAGAGGCCTAGCTAGAACAGACCAAGAACTGGTTCTTTGAAGAATCCTCTCAAATTCAACAGGTGTTGAGACAGGGGTAGACTCGGTCCACGAGGAAAGCCAGAAGCTTGAACTAGATGCGGAACCACTATTCCTAGATCATGCGCAAACGAAGTCAAAACCCCACGCTAATTTCTAAACAAATATGTCCGTGGCCCAGAAAGGTCGTTTCAGCTTGCCACAGTTCGTCCCGCCCCGCTTGTCCTGCCCATACTAACCAAGCATGTTAAGAAATTTTGTCCAGTCATTTGTCGCCATTGCAGAATCATCTGCAAGTCCTAACCAGTCTAACCCTTAAGCAACAGTCTAGATCTAACTAATGCTGCGTGAAGTAACCACACTAAGGACAGACTATCGACTCCTGTCTCGCCTTTGGTCATATTCCAGCTAATTTCAGGCAAGCCCCTTAGAGGACTGGTTCCCTCAATGTATCGCAATATCAAAGCTACATCTAGGTACCACAGTTAATCATCGCTTAACAAGTGGCATAATGAGGATCACGTTTAATGAACACTTGCTTACCTTAAGCTGCTTGTTTGCACAACGGGAGATGAGATCACCGCTATAGCTTTGGGACGAAGTGGACTTGCATATTGCATCGCTCTAGGCAAGGGACACAACAAGCACCTGCAGCCGGCTCTCCTCGTTCACCTCAGACAGTTGATTTTGAGGTGGCGGGTAGTGGTGGTTCGGCACCACTATCACTAGCTGCATAATATGGGTATAAGGCTATTATTGAAATGCTTCTTGACTAGCGCCTGCGCCGCCTATATTCTGCCTCCACTCTGCTACATCAAGCTGGCCATGCGGTTGTATAGAACGTATATCGCCATGGCATCCAAAACTAGTGTTGCCCGTAAATCAGATGTCGGAAACTTCAAAATCATCATCACCTAGCCCGGCAAGGATCAATGGCCGAAGACTTTGGAAGATATCGATGCGGATCTCTCCCCCCTTTCCCCCCATCCTCGACATCTCCATTACGTCCTAGAGGATTGGTACCCCGCGGTTCAGCATGAGAGAGACCCCGTTTTATAGTCGGTGAGGACATGTAGAGCGAAGGTGACCCTGGGAGCCTGTTGGCTGGAGTTGAGAGATGGACTTGAATTAAGTTTGGTGTGCTGCGAGGCATAAGATTGGCTTAATAGCCACTACAGCCAAAGATCCTAAGGATCCCAAAGATGCTAATAATCTCAAAGATCTCTAAGATTGCCAGCAAAGACTACTTCCAAGCCACAATCCCTCAAACTTGCAGCTAGCTGCTCTGGCATGATGTCCGCTGTGGTTTAGCCAGAAGCTCGTAGCCAACATGGAACTTACAAAGAACGATGTTGTTTACAAAAACAACTATGGCTAAAAGCTCGCCTTTGGCGATTGGATATACTAGCTCCTGCAAGCCTTACCAACCAAGATTGCTATAACAAGCCTAAGCCTGATGACGAGAAGAATGACCTGGGATTTGTCTTTAGAGTTTTTGCTTCTTTATCTTATGTCATCTCTTCTCGCATCTTCGCATCTTTAATCCTTTTCTTTTCCTTTCTTACTGCAATTTCTTTTCTCTACCTTCCTCGCTAGCACAGGACATACCCTAGCGCAAGACCTACCCTGCTTGATGGGTTTTCAGGCTGAAGTGCAAAACCTATTCGCACCGCCTTGCACACACAGTCACATAGATATATGGATTATTTGATTGGAAACAAGTAGGAAGGAGATCTTAAGCCTACTAATGCCTAGGACGTCGATTGTATCGGCGCCCGTGGCAAGGATGTTAGCGGTGGACGCGAGTTTTTTTGAGTAAAACTTGCAGAAGGGGCTGCTGCAGGAGGCGAAGGGGAAAGGGGGAGAGATTGAGAAGGAAGCTGACCAAGTCTACCTAAATCTAGCTGCACTGAATCTCCCACGTGTCACCGCCGTTGTCTAAAAGGCTACCGAAACCAGAGTGAGGACGATGTTGACGCGGTTCTGAGGCGGACGTTGAGCGTGGTTGGGACCGCTAGACGGCCATTTATGAACTGCGGGTTCGATTTGGGGTTTTGGAATCTATAATCTTGGGAACAGGCCTCACTTGGACTACGAATAACAATACTGTGTTTGTCATCACTTGCCGTGGTAATTAGGCGAGTCAATTATGACAAGCGGTAGCTTTACCTCTTTTGCTGCACTAGTCTTTGTAATGTAATGTAAAGCTTATTAAATTAAGAAGGACCACATAGTAGGCAACGGTTAACTTGGACGACACACGAGCTCTCTCTCTCTTGTTTCCCCCAATGTAGGTGTCTAGTGAATTATTATTATTTAAATTGCACCCCCAGCTCATCCGTCAGCTTACCGGGGGATTAATATCCTTGAGTGCCTTCTTTATGGCGAGGACGGCGGTGGAACCATCTGCCTAGGGCGTAGTCGTATGATGGGCATTGCCGCAGCAGCCATAGCCTTGGAGTCTGGCAAGGATGTGGGCTCCCCAAGCTTTCGCAGCAGTAGAATTCTACGCGAATAGGAGGAATTCTCACGACTGGTAAAGTTTATATCATTAACTAAGGCAGTGTCAACACTTGGCCCCTGCTGCGGAGGGCTAGGCTATGGCAACCACGAGCCTCAGAAGCGCCCTTTGATCAGGTTCCTTTGGGGTCGTGGGTACCAGGTGCTATTGCTATTGCGTAGCTGCTGCTAAAAGCAGCTTCGATGGCAATGACAGTGGTGGCGATAGCAACAGCAACAGCAACAAGGGACTGACAGCAACTGCAACAACAGCAGCAGTATCAGCAGCAATTGGCAGGCTTTATTTGCACCGTCGTGCGGCTACCTCTCTCGGCAGCAAAAGCATTTCACAACATGGAAGAGATGGAAGTGCAAAGGATATGCTTACTATTCGCGTTTACATGCCTTGAATAGAGTAGGCTGCTTTTGAGTATCTAAATCCAGGAATAGGAGGATGAGAGAGTCGACTCCGCAGGCTTCTAGAATCCTTGATAACCACACCACGGCCTTCTCCGAGAGATGGTTGCAGAACAAAGTCCTGGAGACCCTCTACGGCGCCACCCAGCGCCTAATAGATATTTATCCCGCAGCCATACCACTCTCGCGTGCGCTCGATTCGGTAAAGCTTCAGTGATTCTAACCTTGGCGATAACATCTCGGTACATATCGAAACTGCACGCCTCCAACTATAAGTCTAGGTCGTCTTTGCTAATGTAGTTAGCGAATTTCCGTGGAATATCTGCAATACGTATCTGGTATAAGCGCGCAAGTACCTCCACCTAGCCTGAGCCAATCTGAGTTTAGTTGAGGCTCCCCTGCTCGTCAGACCCCCTTCTGTCGCTGTCTCCTTTTTACTTCTCGTGTCGACATTTCAAACACAGCGTAGGCAGTATAACTAGGTAATATTCCGTTCATGACGATGTCGGGTTTCGTTGGGACAGTCAACTAGGGAGCTAGTTCTACTAGGCAATGTTGACGGCATGGAACCCGCCAAACCCTTCTTTTCCACCGTTATAAGTGAACCCGCACCCTTGGGTTAATCAATATCTATATTTACCTGGCCGCCCGCGGCCTCGTCTCGTTACAGAGCCTAGCTTGAACTGGAATAGCCCGAGCTAAGTTTGGCCTGGGCTTGGGTAACCTAGCCGGGCAATTGGTGTTGACCACTGGTGCGCCGGCTGGACCAAGTACGTCCGCAATGACCGGGGCCGCCGCAGCCGCCGCTGGTCAGACCGTGATAGATGGCGAGCCGTTGTCCTAGGGGCCAAGGAGGGGGGAGTGGGTTGGGATCGAGAGTGCTGCTGCCGAGGCGGGAAGGATAGTCAAGAAATGAGAAAAAGGAGAGACAGCGACGTCACGGCCGAGGTCAACCACGACTATGATACATGTATTGCAGGCGGATTTGCTCCACTCTCGGTACGTCAGCTCTTTCGAAACGTGGAGTGAACCTGTCAAAAACACCTTAACCTGCGCTGCCGTTTATCTAAGTCCCTTCATCAGCAGAGCCATGCTAACGGCCCCCACCTCCCCCTGCCCGCCCACTCTGCGATGCAGACGAGATTGTCTAGCGTACGAAGCGCTTAACCAGACGGTTATATCTGCCGGCTCGCCCATTAAACAAAACTCCCCCTTTCCCCAAGACATGTCTCCTCCATCTCCCCCGGGGAGCTCCTCAACTGACATTGCAAAGTCTCTCCGCCTCGAGTATGCACTTGCCCTCCTTGTACTTCGCGCTCGACTCGTACGCCTTGTCCCGCCAAATATGCTGGTGGACTTGAAATATCTGTGATGCCGCTTCCACCTTGTGTCTACTGTAGCGATGAGTAGTGTATGAGCAGTTTCGCCTAGCTGTTGGCAGAGATGACCTAGCAAATAGAGTTGCCTTCTATATTGTTGCTAAAAAACAACCCGATAGCCTAGTCAAAATTATTCACTCGCTCCCTCTAAGAAACTACTAAAAGTGTTAAAAGCCAAAAAGTGTCAGTCATTGGCATTCTCATAGGGCTGTGCCTCCTCAAAATCTGTCTCCTCGTCCGGCACCTAAGCCCTCCCAGTCGTGTCTGAAAATTGCAAGGGCTGCCACGCCTCAGAAGCCAGGCACCACTTGCCTAAAGTCTCTAGGTTCTAGAAGGTGTATAAACAAAGTATCTTTTCTTTGTACGTATATATATAGTCTTTGGTATCATTACAGCTTCTCTTTTATTATCCCCTTATTTGTAAGCTTCTCCGTCTCATCCCTAATCCTGTCGCCGACCGTC